TCTGTTGGGTCACCTCTCTTTGGAATGGGCACAAACATTGATCTCTTCCAATCAGTCGGCCAGACAGTTGTCTTCCAAATTTCTTGGCAGAGATTTGGTCTTAGAAAAGCAAAATGATATTTTCCATTTTACTTAATGAACGGCATGTACAGTCGGTCATGCTATACATCAGTCTTCCTTTGCCATAAATACTGATTTAGATGTATCCTCACTGCCAGCATTTCCACTGCCTGTGATCCTTCTGACACTTCCTGTACCCACCTCTACCCAGGGCTTGTTTCCCTCCAGCATTGCCCATCTGGTCCTCTCATCAGAGGAACAGTACTGCCTTCCAGATCTTCACGGTGACTTTGTAGTCATGACCTGCTTGCTTGCCATCTTTTCCATCTCTAACCCATGGAGCTGCAGCTGATATCCACCCTCACTAGGCCCTTTGCTTCTTTCAGAGGACACCGATTCCTTCACTCATCTAAACTATTTGGGTCTGTCTTTTCATCATCCTCTCCAAGCCTAATAGACTTGACCATTCCCCTGATGGCTGCCACCATGCAATTTTTAATTTTTGAAACTTATTTTTTTGTGAATTGAGTAAAGGTTTACAGATAAGAGCATCAGTTTTATAGTCAACAAATCAGAAACTTCATTTCATCTCAGTGTTTGCAATTCCCCAAGTTCTTAATTTGGAGCCACATACTCCTAAAAGTCAAAAGATCTCCTAGAAAGCCACATATCTGCTGGTGGAAATGTAAAATCGTGTATTTATCTTGCCATACACAATGCCATATCATGTCATTTCCCTCTCACCCTGTTTAAGGGAAATGTGATCACTAGGGACACACCTCAGACAGATTTTCATACACGGTCTCATTAGCAGCTAACAATGTGTAAGTGTCTTGCAACTCTGGAGACCCAGTTATGTGTGACTCTGGAGCTAGTCCTAGCAGCACAAAGGAAATAACAGACCACAATAGAAACTAGAGTCTTGATGAAATTTTACATCATATGCTTTTCTGGGGTAGTAGTGTGATCTTCCAGCTTTGTTGGTTGTTAGGTGCCATCAAGTTGGTTTCAGCTCATGGCGGCCCTTATATGCAAAACACAGGGAAACACTGTTTGGTCTTACACCATACTCGCGATTATGTGTAGGTCCATTGTTGAAATCACTATGTCAGTCCATCTAGTTGAGGATCTTTGTCTTTCTCGCTGAACCTCTATTTTATTAAGCATGATGATTTTCTCTCTTGACAACATGTCCCAAGTGCAGGAGACAAAGAAACACTCGCCATCCTGGCTTCTAAGGGGCATTCTAGCTGCACTTCTTCCAACACAGATTTGTTTATTCTTCTGGCAGTCTGTGGTACTTTGAATATTCTTTGCCAACACCATAATTCAAATGCACTGATTCCTTTTTGGTCTTCCTAATTCTCTGTACAGGGTCGCTATGAGTCGGAACTGACTCCACGGCACATAACCACAACAACAACAATTCTCTGTTTAATTTTCACATGCATATGAGGCAATTGAAAATACCATGACTGGATCAGGTACATATTAATCCTCAAAGTGACATCTTTGCTTTTGAATACTTTAAAAAAATCATTTGCAGATTTGCCCAGGTCAGCAATCTTAGTGCTGCATTTTTATTCATACAAGTGTGAGTCCAAAATTGTTTGCATTCAGGCTGTAGAATTTAATCAACTTTTAAATACATAATTTTTCAACATAATATCCTTGCATTTCAATACACTTTGTCAATCTGTCAACAAGCATTTGCATTCCCTTATTTAAAAGTATCTAAGTCTGAGCTGTGAGGCACCAATACACCACTGTCTTCACTTCTTCATTAGAGATGAATCTTCATCCTCGAAGGGCTAGTTTCAGGGGATCAAACTGGTGAAAGTCTGATGGAGCAAGATCAGTACTATAGGAAGGATGTTTTAACACCTCAGAAGAAACTTTTTGCAGAGTGTCAACAGTGTGGGCAGAGTGCAGACGTGCATTGTTATACAAGATCACAACGCCCTTGAATAGCAGTCCTCTGCATTTAATCCATAGTTAGGCATCAGCTCTTCAGTGAGCACGTGGAGCACTGTTGATTGTTGTACCTTTTTCCTGATAGTGTTCCAATACTGGCCCTTGAGGATACCAGAAAATTTATAAGCATCAATCTTCCAGCTGATGGTTGATTTTTTTAACTTTTTCTTGGTCGGCAGCTGGTAATGTTTCCATTCCATACTCTGCCATTTATGCTCCGACTCTTAGTGATGAATCCATGTCTTGTTACCAGTAACAATTCTTTTTAAAGAAACTTTTACCTCCTCTGAGTATCAGTCCAAATTTTGTTTGCAGCTGTCCAAACACTTCTATTTATGATCTTCCATGAGTTTTTTCAGAGTCCTGGTGTGTCGCTGTGGGTTAATGCGCCAGACTGCAAAGCCATTTGAACTGCACGGTTGGCGTTTCAAGCTCACCAGCCGCTCATCAGAAACCCTGTACAGGGATGCTATGGGTTGGGATCGACTTGATGGCACTTAACAACAAGAAGTTGTTTTGGTACCCATCTTCTTTCACAAACTTTTCAAAACCCAAGTCTGTTGTGGGTTATTTCATAGGCAGAACCATACTGATTTACAAAATGATTTGTCACTTAATCCACTGTTTGTTTATTCGACAGAATCATTTCAATCTTGTTATTAGCCATGGACATAGACGGGTGTTTTAATATTACCAGGGTGGAGATAATTTTGACTCATCGTCATACCATTCAGTTTCTTAGATTGAGTAAGTGTGGTGATAGGATACAACACAAATGCACACCTTTCCTGGTTTTAAACCACTGAGTGTCCCCTTGTTCTATTCCAAAAACTGCCTCATGGTTTGTGTATAAATTCTGCATGAGCATTGTGAAGTGTTCTAGAATCCCCCTTCTCCCAGCTTTAAAACCAGCAACTCATCGCCACATTTATCCAGTGTCTACCCACTATTCTTTCCTAAACAGTCATAAGGTTAATTTTATTGTGTCCAGAGCATATCCTAAAAGATATGTACAGATTGTTTTAAGGTAGCCAGAAAGAGAAAAACACTGAGGTTTGTTTTTTTGTAAGAGAACAGGGGAAACAGAAGTGTTTGTTCCTCTTGCTGTGATTAGTTCATGTTAGTGTTCCTGTGGATTAGTGAGTTTTTGTTTGTTACACTGTCAGTTTGGCTCTGACTCACAGTGACTCTATGCACAAGAGAACGAAACACTCACTGCCCAGTCCTGCGCCAGCCTCATTTTTACCACACTTGAGTCCATTGCTGCTGCCACTGTGTCAGTCTGTGTCTTTGGGGGGAACTCCCTCTTTTTCTCTGACCCTCTACTTCACAAAGTATGATGTCCTTTTCCAGGGACTGGTCCCTCCTGAAAATATATCAGAAGTATGAGAGATGAAATCTCACCATCCTGGCTTCTAAGAAACATTCTGGCTGTACTTTTTCCAACACAGATTTGTTTGTTCTTTTGGCAGTCCTTGGTACTTCAGTATTCTTTGCCAACACCTTAACTTATCAGTTCTTCTACAGTCTTCCTTATTAATTGTCCAACTTTCACACGCATGTGAGGTAATTAAAAATACCATGCCTTGGGTCAGGTGCACCTTTAGATCTCAAACTGTTATCTTTGCGCATGAACACTTTAAAAGGTCTTATATTGCAGATTTGCCTGATGTAACACATTGATTTCTTGACTGCTGCTTCCATGAGTGTTAATTGTGGATCCAGGTAAAATGAAGTCTCTGACAGCATCAGTCTTTTCTCCACTTACCATGATGTTATGGGTCCAGTGGTGATAATTTTTGTTTTCTGTACATTTGAAGGCTGTAGTCTCTGATCTTCACTTTCAGCAAGCAAGGTTGTATCATCTGCATATCACAGGTTGTTAATGAGTCTTCCTTCAGTCCTGATGCCACATTCTTCACACAATCCAGCTTCTTGGATTATTTGCTCAGTGTACAGATTGAATAAATATGGTGAAAGAATACAACCCTGGCGCACACCGTTTTTTATTTTTAGACCCTTCAGTATCTCTTAGTTCTACTCAAATACTTGTTTCTTGGTCTATGTACAGGTTCTTTATGAGCACAATAAAGTGTTCTGGAATATCCTTTCTTTGTGCAATGTTGTCCATAGTTTGTCATGGCCCTCACAACAGAAAACCTTTGCATAATCAATAAAGCACAAGTTAACATCTTTCTGGTATCATCTGCTTTCAGCCATAATCCCTCTGACATCAACAATGATACCACTCATTCCAAATCCTCGTATGAATCTGGCTTGATTGAATTTCTGGCAGTTCCATGTCGATGTCTGTCACAGCCGTATTTGAGTTTTAGGTAAAATGTTACTTGTATGTGATTTTAATGATACTGTTCTAATGATTTCTACGTTCTCATGAGGAATCTGTACCTGGACCAAGAAGCAGTTGTTCAAACAATACATGGGAACACTGAATGATTTAAAATTTAAAAAGGTGTGGGACAAGGTTGTATGCTTTCACCATATTTATTCAACCTGTATGCTGAGCAAATATTACAAGAAGCCGGGTTCTATGAAGAAAAACGTGGCATCAGGATTGGAGGAAGACTCATTAACAACCTGCTATATGCCAATGATACAACCTTGCTTGCTGAAAGTGAAAAGGACTTAAAACATTTACTGATGAAGATCAAAGAGCACAGCCTTCGGTATGGATTACATCTCAATGTAAAGAAAAAAATCCTCACCACTGGACCAATAAACAACATTCTTATCAATGGAGAAAAGATTGAAGTTGTCAAGAACTTTATTCTTCTAGGATAAACTGTCAACACGCAAGGAAGCAGCAGTCAAGAATCAAACAACGTATTGCATTAGGCAAATCTGCTGCACAAGACCTTTTTGAAGTGTTGAAGAGCAGAGATATCAGCTTGAGCACTAAGGTGCGCCTGATCCAAGCCTTGGTATTTTCAATAACCTCATATGGATGCGAAAGCTGGACAGTGAGAAGAATTGATGTCTTTGAGTTGTGGTGTTGGAGGAGAAGATTGAGTGTCATGGACTGCCAAAAGAACCAGTAGATCTGTTTTGGAAGAAGTGCAGCCAGAGTGCTTCTTGGAGGCCAGGATAGCCAAACTTCATCTCATACTTCAGACATATTGTCAGCAGGGACCAGTCACTGGAGGATATCATGTTTGGTAAGGTGGAGAGTCAAGAGAAAAAGAGGAAGACCCCCCAACGAGATGGATTAGCCAAGTGGCAGCATGGATGGACTCAAGCATGGCAACAGTGGTGAGGTTGGCCCAGGATCGGGAAGTATTTCATTCTGCTGTGCATAAGGTCTCTACCGACTCGATGGCACCTAAACAACAAACAACACGATATAGGTCTTTTATAATCAGTTAGCCAGGTAGCTGTCTTCCAAATTTCTTGGCATAGATGAGTGACACTTCTTCCTATTCTTTTGGGGAAGCATATGATTAGGGCCTTCTCAGGAGTTGGTGTTGGGGATGACTGCCTCCTTCCTTCCTTTTAGCCTAGACCTCTGGAGCTATGCTCATTCATCGTTTCACTGTCTTGTTAAATTGGAAAGGGAGTGACTTGTTGAAATTCAAGTTTAGGCAAATGCTTAATACACATCCATTTATTTCTGAATACTGGTTTATTAATGATGAGGCAATAATTAAGCACAGAATTCTGCCCTTTATTAATCTCTCCCATACCCCCCATACACATATCCCTGATCTTCAGATTGGATCATCGATCTCCAGATTCATAGACTCTTTCCCCTGTCTTCTCTATTATGTATTGAGCCCTTCCAGTGTTTGGGATCCCTTCCGCTTCCCATTTTTATGACTGTATTTTGCTATTCTGAACCTTTTCTGTCCTTTTCCTTCTGGGCAGTGTGTTTGGCCTTGCTGGAACATGGATCATAACGCTTTGGGTCTTTGACAGGCAGCCCTAGCATTGTCATCTCATCATCAGTGTCAGTTGATTGGGTTTCCTTGCGAAGGGCAATTTTGCTGGGTCTTCATACATTGAGGAGTTTATGATTGTAACTTGGACATTTTGGATTTTTAAGAATAAGGTCTTATTGTAAAGCTACAAAGAACTTTGAGATTTTAGTTTTAAACAGGTAAAATGACCCAGTTGGGTTTAGGCTGCAGATTCTAGCCACCTTTCTGTCGTCTTTGTTCCAGTGACAGTTCATGTTTCATAGCCTTCTGATCTCTTCCCCATGTGTGCCACCCTGTGGCTAGCTTGCATCCTGGGTGGTAGCCTGTCTCATTGTTCCCTTCTTAAAATCTGTGGTTTCTCTCTAGGGTCAGATCATGCAGATGGAGAGTGATTTCAGGCATTCACACACAACCTTATCACTTCCTAGTGCTCATCCTGTGGTGTTTTGGGTTTCCTGGGGGCTTCGGTTACTCCACTCTGAGACACATTTCTGTGACGGCCTGGACTGGGACCAAGCAGCACAGAGACAAGAAAGCCACAGGGTTAGCCCGTCTTGTTGAAACAGCTCTTCTAGTCAGAAAGGACACTGCCGCTCAGAGTTGGGTTCCTGCAGGTTCCAGTGGCCGCCATGCTGTTTCAAGGTTACTTGGGAAATGAAAGAAAAACTGCATGTGAACATACGACGTACGTACGTACTACTAGCAGGTTTTCTCTAAAGCGGTCTGTCCCGGTTGTTATGAAGCTTCAGGAGGCCATTGAGGTCAGGCTTGAGGCTACTTACTGGTGAGGAGAAAAGGGCAAGCACCGGCACAGGTTCAGCATTCAAATTTTGTTTCTTTTCCCTACTCTGTTTGCCACTGTGACTTTGAGTCCTTAGTTGATGACGGTATACATCCGACCTTAGTTGATGACGGTTTTGTTGCTTCCTTGGGGAAGGCGGGTAGAGTATGTTCACTCCATTTCTGCTGGAATCCTGCCCTGTAAAAGCAACTCTACAGTCTGGGATCCACCTGTGCAGTCTCTTGTTCACTGCCCCTTAACCCTGAAGGCTGGGTGGCACACAGAGACAGCCCTGCAGACACGTGGGAGGGGTTCTCTCTGTGTCATGAGTGTCCCCAGCCTGTCCTTTGTAAACCAGAATGCCTTAAGATGTAGAAGTACTGATGTGCAAGGCTGCTGCTCTGTTTGCAGCTAAAAACTGTAACTGACCCAAATGTCCATCAACAACCACCACCCAAAACCCAAACCCACTGCTGTCGTCAGTTCTGACTTATGACTGACCCTATGTGCCAGTGGAACTGCCCATAGAGTCTCTAACACTGTAAACTTTATGCTTAACCACTACCCCATCAGGGCTTCTTCCATGCAGATGACAGCTTGGGAAGCCCTGTGGTAGCAGTTCTGCTCCGTTGGGGTAGAGTGGGAGGAATTGCCTTCTGGAAGGGAGGAAAGGGAGATCTTTCATTAGATCCCACTAGGGCCGTGGCTAAGTGTTGTCCATTAAAATTTAACATGACAGTCTTATTGGAACCTCCAGGCTTGGGTTTAGCCTGACTATCCTGGGGATGATGGCAGAGGTGGTGGTTGTTAAGTATTGTGGAGTCGGTTCCCGAGGCTATACATCTTTACGGGAGCAGAACGCCTCATCTTTCTCCCACGGAACCACTGGTCATTTTGAACTGCTGACCTTGAGGTTGGCAGCCCCACTTGTAACCACTATGCTACCAGAGCAGAGGTAGTGGGATACATATGTGTGTATGTGCATGTGCGAGAGCGAGAATACTGACATACCTGTTCTGTGCTTTGTGGGAATACAGGTGGAGTTCCCTGAAGCCCGAATTTATGAGGAGACCCTGAATATTTTGCTGTATGAGGCCCAGGATGGCCGGGGACCTGACAATGCACTCCTTGAGGCCACTGGGGGTGCTGCCGGGCGCTCCCACCATTTGGACGAGGATGAGGAGCGGGAGCGGGAACGGATTGAGCGTGTGCGGCGGATCCACATCAAGCGCCCAGACGACCGAGCTCACCTCCATCAGTGAGCAGGCCAATGTGGCCTATGCTGCCCACCCACCCTCCACATCCTCTCCTCCCTGCCAGGCTGTCCTCGGTCATCTGCAGGCTCCCGGCACTTCCTCCTCCTTTCATAACAAACCAGATGATGATTTTGATATTTCTTGACAAGTGAAGTCTGTTTTTCCCAAGGTGAATGTACCCTGATGTTGAACAAGCTGTGTCCGAGGTCTCTGCTCTTGTGAGAATGCATCAAGTCCTGGAGCCAGGCTTTCTTGGTTCTCAGAGAAAAGTATGAATGGGTGTGAAGTGTCTGTGAGAACTTAGGTGTGCAGTATTTATTTTGGTGGGTGTTGATTATCTGTTTGGACTCCTTGGGAGCTCCCTGAGGAGTTAGTGTGATCATTCCAAGAGGGGGGTCTGCAGTTGGCAGCCAGCACAGGAGTCAGCCTCCTAGCTCCTAACCGTTCCGTTCCCGCATCCCAGCTCCTGTGCACTGTTCACCAACCCATTCTGCCAAGTGGTCTCCAGACAGTGTGCTGATCAACAAGTGCCGCAGGTGGCAGTGGAGCTGGGATTAATCAAGTGCACCTCTCAACTGCTCGCCTTCTTTCAACTGCTCGCCTTCTGTTTGTTTGGGATGCGTAGCTCTGGTGACAGGCAAGTAAGTCTCTGTGGCTGCCTCAATTCATCTTTGGTCTGTTACTTGCTGGAACCCCCACACATCCACTTGGGGCACAGCCCTGGTAATGACTCCTGCCCCTTTCCAGGAAGGGTGCCTGACCAAGTTATGGGGACCCACAAGCTACTGCTCCACACGGTCCGTTCCTTTTCAACCTCTTCCTGTTAAGCTGGGCCCATTGCAGCAAGTAGAAGCCCTGCTCTTTGCTTGGATATGACTCAGGACCCCAGACCGTGCCTACCTCCGGCAGGGTTGCCATTCATAATAGACCCAGGGCGCTTGCCTAAGCTCAGCCAGCACCTGATCATACTTCCTGTCTTCACGTCTCCGCTTATCCTTACAAGGTAGAGTGTGACTGCCAGCAAACTGGTTATAGAGGATGTGCAGATATGCTTGGGTCAGATTCGTGGTCATGGTTTAAGGACTATGTATGTGTGACTTATGATGGGGGACGTGTGTGTGTGGGGCACAAGGGGCCCACGCTGGAGCTCATTGTCTGCACCAAACTGTGGTGGACAGGCGCTCTTGGCTACCTACCTCCCAGTCCCGTGTGCCTGGGAAGGAACAGAGAGAGCTGTGACTCCTGGGTGGCTGAAACTAGTCTAGGTACAGTAGTTACAAGGATGAGTATGTGTGTATGGTAGAGGATGTGTTTTGTCTGCTTGTTCAGGAAAACGTTACCATTTTATACCAAAGGTATTAATTAATAGGGACAACCTTGGACACCATGTATTCCAGAAAACGAGTTTATATTTTGAAATGGTTTTTACAGCTTAGACTTTGTATGTATTGCCCTACCTGTGACAGTTGTATGCCTTTATTTTGTATCCAGCAGAAAGCCTGCAATAAAACCTTAAAACTCACGACTGAACCTAAAACCAGGTCTCTGGTAGATGCTTTTGTTTTATAGAAGACTATTTGGGTTTGAGTGTGAAGCAAAGTGGCTAACAAAATGTTTCATAAATATTTTGGTACTGTTTGTTTTTAAATATCAACCCTGTAGTTAGGACAGAACTGTTTGAGGACATTAAAGTGAATCATCAGTTTTGATGTTTTCTTTCTGAAAGAATGGGAAAGCATGTGTGAAGGGTAAACGTGGGTGAGAATGGCAGCGCTCTCTACTTTCCCTTTTCCTCCAACCTTGCACTTGCAGTTTTTGCTAAGCCATGACTTGGCTGACAGTGCTGTTATCAGGACACAGTATTTATATTCAAGAACCATCAAGTCAAAGCACTGGCCTAAGATTTGGTAAAAGGTAAGCTTTTATTACATTGGAACAGCTTCCATGTCAAGAGTAATGGAGCTCCATTTTCTTGTGGGAATCAACCTGACTGTGGTGATGGCTGTGCAGGAAGGAAAGCCCCCACCCTGGTTTGTGCGGGGCTGCTAGCTCCATGGTCATGTATGTCATGAACCTGTCTCGCTACACTTAAACCCACAGTGAGTAAGGTGGAGCTCCTGCTGTCTACCACCTCCACATGGCTGTAAGCATGCAAAAGAGGAATTTCCTGTAAGCTTACACATGGCCTGAAAGGAAGTTAACAGAAGTGTTTGTCTGGCTTACTGAAGGACACAAAACCCACTAGCCTAAAAGTTACCGCTAACTTAATAAAGGGGCTGAGACTCACCAACCGGAACCTAACGAATCCTCAGAAAGTCACTGAATACTTTGATGTTTGTAAACTCAGTTTTGGAAAGCAAAGTTTGTGACTTTGGGAAACTTCATTAACTTACTCTCAGGCCAGGCGTAATACTTATGGTCTCAGGGGCAGTTTGATGGAGGTAGAGAATGTAACCCACAGTATATAGTGCCACGGGGCAGTGGAGACACTGGGTTTAGGCTTGGGCCCACTCCTGGCTGACAGATGCAAGATACTACCGGTCTGTTTCTTCAGATGTGACTCTTGTCCTAGAGCTTCTGGAAACATTCCCTTGAAGGTATGGCTAAATGGATCCAAACCCAACTTCTGGGTGCTTTCCTCAGAGCAAAAATGACAATGGGAAAGGTTAAGACATCTCCTCCGTCAGGACTTCATTCGGACTGACACCTGGGAGAGAGTCCACACTTAAATTTAGGGATGGTACCTCACCCAGAAGGAAGGAAGCTGTTACGTGTACCACAACAGTCTGCATCGTCAAGGTGGATGTGGACAAGCCTGCCCCCACCCCACAACATGCAAGGGTTAGTTAGAAATGGGCTCTGCGATTCCTGGAGAGAGACTGTTTAAAGACTTTGTGCAAATGGAGAAGCCGCTGTATACTTCACAGTGGTGGTGCTTTGACAAGTTTGGTTTGTTGACTAAGAAGGATGCTTTTCCTCCCCATTCATTCAACACTTAAATCTCTAGTATTAATTCCTTCCAGTTTTTCAGAGTTAGAACCAGGAGTAGAGGAAAACAAGAAATAGCAAACAATAACAGTGAATTTATAAATGTGGAGGCTTCTGGGGCAGGATAATGGGGTAGGCAGATGGGCCGAGCAGACCCCCTACAGCGAGGACAAGGGAGATGAAATGAAACAGATACGGATGTTGATCCTGGAACATGAACTTCAGGAGAGAGGAAGCTAAACACATCAGCAAGAGGGTAGACTGTCACGCATTCACAGGTGGGTGTCATTACAGTGGCCTGGAGGCACAGGCACATCTGCAGGTTGGTGGGAAGTGAGGTACAGTTTTCTCTTGTTCCTGGGTCCTCCAGGGAGCCAAGGGCATTCCTGGGGTCAGGCACCAGACATATCACCCTTGCTTCTTCTGGATGCAGGTGTAGTATTCCAGCTTAGATCACAATCACCAACTAAACGGTGTATCTGAGATAACTATAGAGTCAGAAACATAATACCAAAAATGGTATTGGAACTACGTCGTAAGGATTTTTTAAATGATATATTTAGGAACCTTCAGCAGAGGGAAAAGATTGAGAAAGCTGCAAAAGAAATCAAGGAAAACACTACAAGAGCAAATGAAAAATTGGAAATCATACAAAAACAGCAATTAGAAAGGCAGAAAATTAAGACCAGAAATGGGTGAGTAAAAATGGTCCTCACTCCTGGTTATATTGAAATGTTCCTGTCGAACAGACAAGTGACACTATGTGGCGCATTGGCCACGGCTCTGCCTATAAAATAATCCACGACAGGCTTTGGTTTCAAAAAGTTTGTGCAAGATGGCTACCGAAACAACTCATGTAAGAGCATAAGCAGAAGCATTTGATCAGCTGCAAACAAAATTTGGAGTGGTACTCGAGGTAGATGGCAAGACATGGGTTCATCACTAGAAGCCTGAGAGTGAACACACTGTGGAATAGAAGAAACCTCCTCAGTTGACAACCAAGAAAAAGTTCAGAAGTCAACCATCAACTAGAAAAATGGTGTTTGTAAAGTTTTCTGGAATTCTCAAGGGCCAGTACTGGGGACATTACCAGGAAAAAGGATGAAAATTCACCTCTGATGAAGTGAAGACAGTGGTGCATTTGTGGCTCGCAGCTCAGCCTAAAACATTTTTAACAAGGGATTGTGTTAGAAAATGATGTCTTTTCTAAAAGTTGATTAAATTTCTAAAAGTTGATTAAAACATTCTACAGCCAGAGTGCAGATAATTTTTGACTCATCCATGTATATTGATTGGAAGGACAAACAAAATTGAATCATTGAAAGGCCAAACTAGTGAGCTTAAAGACAAATCCCTCTGCTAGAGAATCAGGAATGTTATCAAGAGGATACATGTGTGTGATTGGAATTCCAGAACAAGGAGACACATTACTTCCCAAACATCGTGAAAGACAAAAGAAAGACAAAAGAGACTCCAAGAAAAACACCAGGAAAGAATCCTGAAAATTACCTACAATCAGCAGAAATCACAAATACAAGATGACACTGGGATTACTTATGTAAAACTCTGGAAATAAACATTGTCAGCCAAGAATCATACCCAGTAAAACTGTATATGGTTTTTATAGGGGTAGCTGATGGGTTTGAACTGCCAACTTTGTGAAGAAGTCCAGTGCTTATCCACCAGGACTCCACAGTAGTGGAGTGAGTTAGTCTTAACCACAGATTATGGCTAGGTCTAGGACTTCGTCAGCCTAACTCCCATCCATCCAAATAATCTGGAGTTGGTGCCTCCCCCCCAAAAAAATGGTCACTCACCACTATTAACTGTCCATTTTTATCTTTATAGATTTGTTCTTCTGGTCCAGTGTTGAAAACTATTGTGCCTTCTTTTGCTGGACTGATATAAAACTGTAAACTTAAAAGACAAGTCATGAATTAGTTTTCTCTCAACCTTGGGTCTGCAAAAGAAATTCATTGACAAAGCTTTACTATATTGGAGCTATCAGAACACCACCATTTGTATTGTTTAGCACAATCCGTTCTCCCAGGGGCCAACTTGATGTCTTAGCGGGCACCTACACCCCTTCATGCTGACTCTCAGTGTGCTCAGGCATCGCAAAGCAGCAGTATTGTTTCTCAGTATACCTGACACTCTCCCTAGACCATGTACAGAATTGCTCACCAGGTTGTAGAAATTTAGAAAGCTAATAATAGGAGCATCTCACTGCTGAGGAGAAAGAAACTTGACTTCCTAGGAGCAGCAGCCTGCACCCTAGAAGTGAGGGGACACGGTGCTGCCGCTGCACACGATACAAACACAGGCCCAAGCCCAGGCAGAGCCGCTGCTTGGCTGCATTATGTGGGGTAACCTCCTTATACTCTACTCACCTCACCAATGAAAGCGAGAAGATGGCTCCTAGAGTTGAGAGAAAACAATCAGGCTCCTCACTTTTCTGAGAGACTGTCAATTTTGACTCTTGGGAACTCATACCTGTCTTCCCAGAACTGCCTGTCTTGGTAGGCGCCACTGTCTACTGCTGGTAGACTGGATTAACATGTACCTTTTCTTGATCTAATGAAGAGGAGACTACTTACCTCCCTTGAACAACTTTTACAATGTTCTTCTTAACCAGCATGGTGAGTTTTGTTACTGCTTCAAATATGTGTTCACACTGCAAAATGACATCCCCCTGAAGTGAAAGGGGAAAGGCGTGTGGTCTCAGGTTCACTTAGCTGGAGTACTGTTCCCCACTTTCAGTAGATCCAGGTGGTTGTCAAGACACTTACCTTCTGCCTGTAGTCTTCAGGTGAAATGTGGATGACGAAGATCCTGTCGCTTAGATTGCTGGTAGAGACACCTTAAGACAGGCCCACAGTTAGAGACGCCCAGGGGCTTCCCCAAACCTAAGCTGTTTTCCTCTTAGCTGGGTGTAGTACGATAAAGGGCATAGTCCAGCCACCAGCCTGCTGTTGGATTGGATAGGTAGAAGGTGACTAATGCCAACCTGACACTTGAGAGAAAGGGGTGGTACCAGCCAGAGCGTTAGGGTCACCCGACACTTTTGTCTGAGAGTGGCTAGTCGCTACGTCCACTCTCTGAATTATCGTACTCTGCCCCCTTCTTACCTTTGACTGAAGAGTACTCTATTTTCTGCTTGATTTTGGCAAGTTCTACCACGTAAACCGCCTTCTGGGTCAGAATGAGTTGCCGCTGCCGTGCCTTAAAGCCTTTTCTATCGTATTTAATGACCGGGATACCGTACTGCAAGGAGTTTAACACGAGAAAGTTACCTCTACGGGTGGACTACTGCTTGGCCCTGGAAAAGTTACTGCAAGCATGCACAAAGGCCCAGGTTGTTCCTGCTCCCTGGCTGTGTATGAGATTGGTGTTCCCAGCTCTGCCTCTCAGCATCACCCTCTAAAAGGCTCAGCTCCAAGTGGGCATGGAAACAAGCTGCGAGTGTTAAAACCCAACAGAGACCACAAGCACTCCAGTCCTCATCACAGGGATCCAAAGGGCCAAACTCCTACTGGAACACACCGTAATAACAAACACCTCCATGCCCACCGACTCACTCCTCTTAATAACCCTGTTATCAGACCTAGATCTGGTGAGAGCTGCCAGACCTCGCAGTTACAAATTTAGGAAGATCATGTGTGCAGCCAGGCCTTTGCCATGCTGCCTCCTGCAAATCAGGGATTTTCGTGACTTGACTGCATGCGCATTTCACAGGAAAACAAGACCGTCTGTGAGGACCATCTATACAGCAGTGGGCATGATAGTCATCCAATCATCCTTTCCCCATAATATTAAACCCAAGCGCCACAGCCCTGCGTTTGACATGGTACAGAAATTCTGTAGAAAGCAAACTCTGTTCTCATACTTAACAAAGGAATCTTGGTGGGTCAAGGACCCACATTTCCTTACCTGGATTTTCTCATTGCTAAGTTGTTGAAGCACTTTGGCATTAATGTCATCTTTGTCTGAGAAGAGAACCAGAACACAGTCATCAGTAAAGCACTTCCCTATGGGACAGTCTGGTATTTCTGCTTTTCTAGGTCTGCTGTCTCCCGTCCATGGCTGAGATCTCAACTGGGAAATAATTGTCTTGTTTGTTAAAGTATTAGGGAGCCGAGCATCTTCTTGCACTCTCTCAGAATACAGACCGTAAACAAACTCACCAAGCCGGCTGTTGGCAAAGGGTTGATTTAAACTCTCTGTATAGCCATCTTTCTTTCCCCTGAATATGTCACTTGTAACCACCTTTTGTTGCATCTGGAAATACAATTGAAAAAACACAGATGACACAATTGAGGGGCTCTTGGGAACAGAGGAGCTTCACATACGCTGTAGAGCCTTGTAGTTCTGTATTGTATATGTCAGAATACATTTCTGACTTTGGCAAAACTCCCTGAAAAGGATACTAGTGGGGAACTGCAGTTGCCTCTTCTGCTTGTTCCTTATTGGCACTGGCTTCCTGAAAGTGGGGTGTTCAGCGTTTCAGAGAGCGAGCTTCAGCCCGGGGACAGATCTAGCCCACACCTATTTGGTAATGTTCTGCCTGTTATATACTTGTCTAGACCAACTTCACCAGAGGTGAGTTATTGCAACAGACAGTATGTATGTCCCACGCACCCTAAAATTTCTTTGACCCTACTCTGACCTACAGCTATTCTTAAATAAAGTCAGCTCTCCAGCAGAAAAGGGGGACTTCACTCTACTGTATGCCACAGCAACTTTAGGAATGCTGTGGGTTAGAACAAGAGCTGGTGGATGGTGAAGTTCACATGCATTTCATCCTCAGTCTGAGGACTAGGTCTGCTGGTGCTTACAATCTGGCTGCTCCTTTTAACCATGCTGCCGCCTCACAGACACACTGAGCCCCTACCTGAGCGATTCTCTCAGCTGGGAGCCCGCAGCAGTAGTTGCGCACCAGGTTCCTTATGCACATTCTCTTGAGCAGATTCGATGCCTACATGGAGAACACACAGCTTTCCACTTTATAGTACAGTTCAATTCTGCTTAATTTCAAGGACAGCATTAGTAGTTCATAGTAAAAACATCAAGCAGCTAGCTAGCCTTCCAGTCTTGCCCTAAGTCTCTGCTGTTGCCAAAGCAGTGACTTTAAATTGTGAATATCTCTGCGTCACCAGGGAAGCTGTCTGAAATAACCAGTTCTTACAAATTTTGACTTGGTGAGTCTGGGATGGAGCTCAGGAATCTGTATTGATGTAGGCTTCCACCGCATGTTTCAGACAAGAGTTCCCAGACCATCTTTAATACTGTATAGCAAGGATTCTGTTGTTAGCTGACCCCTGACTCATGGTGACCCAGTGAACAATGGAGCTGAATGTTGCCTGGTTTTAAACCATCCCCATGATGGATCGTGGATCACTTAGGTTTTCATTGACTGATTTTTAGAAGAAGCTCACCAGGCCATTCATAAGTTCCTCATACTGCAGCAGCTGTGCAGAAACCTGCTCAGCATCCTAACAGCACGTATACCTCTGCTGACAGATGGGCTGTGGCTGCACAGGACCCTCGTACTGGCTGGGACTCAAACTCACATCGCCTGCGTGGAAGGTGAGAAGGCTGCCACTGAGCCATCAGTGCCTCCACTCAAGGATTTTATTTTGCTGTTAAGTGCCATCGAGTCGCTTCAGACTCAGAACAACCCTGTATCGGATTTCTGAGCAGCAGCTGGTGGATTTGAACTGCCAACTTTAGAGTTAGCAGTCCAGTGCTTATCCTACAGGACTCCACATCAAGGATTGTTAAGTGCTGTCGAGCTGGTTCCAACTTATAGTAACTCTGTGTAGGGTTTCTGAGGAGTGCGTGGTGGGTTTGAACTGCTCTTGCAGGTAGCAGTCCAGTGCTTATCCTGCATCGCTACATCTGGTGGTTTTGTGCTGTGGAATCGAACCCCGACACTGTACAGAGTGTCCAGGGCTGTAAATCTTTACAGGAACAGAAAGCCTCATCTTTCTCCCGTGGAGCAACCAGTAGTTTCGAACTGCTGACCTTGAGGTTTGCAGCCCGATTCATAACCACTACGCTACCACCTCTCCTTATATCAATTGCCACATCTTGTTGTTGTTATGTGCCGTCGAGTCGGTTCCACATCTAGTAACCATTTAAAAACACTCTGTCTAAACCCACCTCCAGTGACTCTAGAATTATAACACAGATCAAATGAATTCTGAGGAGTTAAATTGAAGTGCTTGGTCAAGGCAGTACAAAGGGATATCAAAGTTAAGCCCAACATAGTTCTTACATTTTCCAGGATGGCAGGGGGCCTCAGCCAGCTCTTATCCAAAACGTTCTTTGGAACGTGATAGCGAAGATTCAAGATGTAATTTTTCCGCACAAACACGACAAACTCCTCATTATCCGGAGAAAGGGGCATGTTGCGATTGATGAACCCCTTTATGAACCTAAACAGGAATGTGTTTTGTTAGTTTTTGAGTCCATTTCTATATGAGGACATGCATTCTTTCCCCACATGTTTGATTCAGAGGTCAAAAGGGTAGGAGCTATTGAGACACCCAGAGCCCACAGGCCAAATCTGCCCCAAAGATATTTTTCACCCACAGCATTAAAAAAAACAAAAAAAAAAAACTTGTATGAGTTGCCAAAAAAATAATTCGTTTAAGAAAAATTGGGAGATGTTACATGAAGCCAGATTTCCTGCATTTAAAAAATCTTGCCTTGCCAAAAAAAAAAAAAAGTCAGTGGCCCTGCATTTCTCATGGCTGCCACCCCACCAGGAGCAGAGTATATCACCTTCCCCACTGCCTACCCAGGCTCATGGGACTCGTACCTGCCGGGCACCAGAAAGCAATTCAACTTTGATTTTTGAGCTGGGCTAAGAGAAACAAGTGTAAAAAGTTGTGATCACCCTCTAAGGGATCTCAAAGCAAGGAGGTGGAACCAAATCCTAAGGGTTGATGTTCACTAGGGAAGATTTCCTTTCTGCACCAATCTAAAAGGTCCAGCAAGGTCCATGACCCCGTTTCTGTGGTACACACGCGACCACTCCTCCCTTTGAAGTACCCGTGAACTTACTTCCTTATAATCTGTGCAGCCCACTTTCTCCTTTGGGCCTCCTTCCGAGCCAGGGCCCCACGCCAGTGGGCTTCAAGTTTGATGGCTGAAAGAGGGCAATGCTGGTATTAGGAGGTCAGCACAATCACATTTACATACCAAAGGCTTTGTCACATTTCATTCACTCTGCAGCTAGCAGGATACCCACCACGGAACTGTGCTAGCCCCACAGCTGGGAAATTGAGCCAGTGGTACTCAGATGAGGGAGGCCCCAAAATGATGCCAGGGGGTCAATTTCCCGAGGCATTTGCCAAGGACAGGAGTGGCATCTGGAATGGTTCTGTTTCAATAGTAGTTTTTCTGCCTTGATTTAGTCATGTACATTTAAAAATTGGGGTATGTAAAGCAAATTGTTAAAGTGCCTTAGAGTCAGTTCCGACTCATGGCAACCCTGTATGGCATTTCTAAGGAGCAAGTTGTTGGCTTTGAACCACCAACCTTGCAGTTAGCAGTCCAGTGCTTATCCTATAGCATCATTTAAAGTTCCATTTCTGGCTTATCTCCCAGTTTTTAAATGCACTTACTCTGATTTTTTCCAATGCTTTCCATTTGTTTCTCATGGCAGCAGTATTTATAGTACAAAAAGCAAATAAAAGATACAATGAACTGCTTAATCTCTGGAGTGTACATCTAGTCAGTGTAGGGACCAGCAGCCTATTTGTGGAAATAAAGATATTGGAACAGTTGTTTTTCTAATTCAACATTTTGTTGAAGGTTTCTCTCCTAATACAATGGCTGCATTGAGTAGTTTTGACACAGACCATATGACCCACAAGGCTGAAATATTTAGTCTGGCTCTCCAATACTAACTATACACTGTGGAACTATGAAATGAGTACGGAAAAACAACTGAGTGCAAAATGTCAGGAAAATACAATCCAATTGTATATTCATTAAGTTCAAATCATGCCAAACTATAAACATTAATATATTGTTTCATGATGTATAAAAACTACCAAGAGAATGAGAAATGCAAAATTCAGGAAACTGGCCACTTCAGGATGTAAGGGATGTGATGGAAACTTTTAATGACTTTTGCAGTGTTTATAAAATATTTTTTTACTTTTTTTCCAGTGCGTATATTTGTACAGGACAGAGTGGGCAAGGAGTCAAGATCCAAAAAGGGCAGCATTTATTTACCCAAGGACAAAGTTGAGATGGATTCGGGAAAGAGGAGGAATGGAAACAAGAAACATGGGGAGGAAGTGGGCAAAGTCACGTTACATGGTTGGTGTAGAGTCAGTTCCTACTCACATTGACCCTGTATAGGGTGTTAAGGAGCAGCTGGTGTGTTTCAACTGCCAACCTTACATAGCAGTTTAGTGCTGATCGTACAGGGATTGAAATCAGTGAGAATGAAGTGTGATTTATTGAATGTAAAACTGATGATCTACTCTGTTAAACCTTCATTCAATTCACAATAAAAAGTTTAAAAATAAACGTGTTGTTTACCAAATAAAACATGTCCCTGGGACAAAGATGATTTCCATCATGAAAGGCAGTCCACCCCAAAATTGCAGGACAGAGTGATTATATAACCCGGGGAAAGGCTGCATGCAGCTCTCTGCTCAGTCTCACCTGCTCGTCTTTTTGTCAGGAACGTTCTTCTTTCTAAGCAGCTTTTGTAGGTGGCTTGGATTCTTCCAACTTAAAATTAAACAGGCATTGTGGTGAAAAGGGTTTTGTTGGGGTTTCTTTGTAGTGACACACATACCCCCTTCCCCAGCCGAGACTCAGAGTGACGATGTCAGAAGTGGCCCCAGATGTAGTGTGAGGCCTACAAGCATAGCAGACACCAGGGACGGCAGGTTCTGTTAAGTAGGCCTGACCCAGATGTTCCCTCCGACCGGTCGGTGGAGCACTACCCCAGAAGGCTGGCGTTACACACATTTTACAAGTGGGCATGGAGTTCAGAACACTCAGCTGGAGGCAACACAGCTAGGTACTAAAGAGGAGGCTAACCCCAGGTCTGAGTCACCACAAGACATACACTTGCCCTGGGTCTCCCTCTTTCCCACCACCCCTTCACAGAGGGACGGAGGTCCTATGAGAAGCCAGGATCCTTCAGGGTCTCAGAGATGAGAACACACGTCTCCTGGGACCTGATTAGAAATGCTGGCTCAGGCCCACCCCAGATGGGGCAAAGTCTGCACTTCCTTCTAGCCAGACCCCCGTGATTGGTGTGCGACTCAGTGAAACAGCACAGTGGCTATGAGCCCAGGTCAAAAAACCAGATAGACCCAGGTTCTAATCCTGGCTCTGCTGCTTTCTAGCTGTGTGGCCTTTGGCAAGTTACTGAACATCTCTTATGCCTCAGTTTTCTTGAACAAAAGTGGAAAAAATTCCCACTCCATAACTGTGTGCTGAGGAGAAAGTGAGTTCATGGAAACAAAGGACTTAGAATGCACCTGGCCCATGGTTGTGTACCCTTGAGTTGACTTCTGACTAATAGCAACTCTAGGGACAAGAGTCGAACTGCCCCAGATGTTTCCTAGGCTATCATCAAGTGCTTAATTTATTTTAGCACAGTCGTTCTTAACCAGTTTAGATTTCTAAAGCATACTTTCCCCTCATTCAGTAGAGTTGATAGTATATGTGTATATACACACACACACACACAATTTTTTATAGTGTATTTTCATACTTTCTCCTCATCGAACTTTTCTTGTCATTCACACAGACACTTGGAGCTGAAGGGTTCAGCCAGGACCTGGTGGCTATAATGTTATTAAAACAATTTAAAGGGGATGGCCTTCAGTGGTTTTAGCTCCTCATGGCAAAACAAAGTTTGATCCAAAATAGAGCTAAGATGGTACCACATGTTTAAGGTTCCATTTGCCTCCATGACCATCCTCCAAACATCATCCCATAACTAGCTCCTGGTTTGTGAAGCAAATGCTTCTCGGTTTAGATCTCAAAGACTTGAAATCAGGGCCTCAGACAGAAATATACACGGTAGTCACAGCAGCATTGCAACTGGAATGCTCCTAATAGCGGATCATATGCGCCCAGGAAAGCCTTATCCCCAAACTAAACTTGTTGACAGCAGGCCAGAGAAATCATACCTAGTTGATGTTTGCTAAATTCAAAAGCATCTTCAGTAGCAAACAGAGTTCTGGGGAAACGAATAAATATTTTGGTTCTAGGAGTAAGAAAGAAAAACAATTAACAATTATTAAGTTACTTCAAGTTTTGCCCCCTGACCTTAAAAAGTAAAAACAAAGGATGTGGGTCTAAATTTAAAAGAAGATTCCACCAACCAATCAGATAAACTAGAGATTTTGATCCCTTATTGCTTGCCCTACCCACATGCTTTCCTCTGTGAGACTTCCCAGAGCAGCCACTAGGGGGCAGTGGTGTGTCCTGTCATGTGATCTAACTTGTCCAGCTCAAGGTGTTCAGATCAGGGACCAGTACCACCTCGGACCTCGATGACCTACTTCCCTGGGGATGTACTGAGCCTGATTCCCCTTAGGGATTTGGAAAAGTGATTCTTGGAGTAGAGCTAATGGAGAAAAGCCCAATGGTCACAGATTAGACTGTCTAAATCCTGGTGTGGTGCTGTGGGATACTGTGCCAGACTGCAAAGCCCTTTGAACTACAAGGTCGGCAGTTCAAGCTCACCGCTCCTCCTCAGAAACTCTATATAGGGTTGCTATGGGTCGGAACCAACTCAACGGCACTTCACAAGACAACAACGAAGTAAGACGTAGGAGGTAAATGGAGTTAGTGGGAGAAACTGGTATGGAGCTGCTGGACTGCAAACCACAAGGCCCGCAGTTCAAACCCACCAGTTGCTCTCCTTGGAACTCTATACAAGGCCACTATGACTCAGAACCAACTCTAGCCCTAAACAACTACAACAAAAAGGAGATAAATGTAGTCCAACAGGGAAAGCCAGCTGATAATTGTGATTCACAGCAGATATCCCTGAAGCTGGGAAGCTTAGCAGTCTGCAGATAGAGCCTCTTATCGAGTACTGTATCTTGCAACCAAACTGTTAAGTGCTAACAAGCAGTTCAGCCTCATAGCAACCCTGTTGGGATTTCTGAGGCTGTCAATCTTTGCAGGAGCAGAAAGCTTCATCTTTCTCCAGCAGAGCTGCTGGTGGGCTCCAACTGCTGACCTTGTGGTTCGCAGTTCAATGCTTATCCTACAGAGCTATGATGCTTTTAACCTTTTAACAACCACCATGTGGTTAAGTGCCTTTGAGTCAGTTCCGACTGACAGCAACCCTCTATAGGGTTTTTCCAAGGAGTGCCTGGTGAATTGAACTGCTGACCTTATTAGTTAGCAGTGCAGTGATTATCCTATGGCACCACACCAGAACTCCACCATGCTCACCAAAAATAAATCAAGCTGATTTGCCCCTCTGCATTCCACCACAAATCTTCCAGTGCTGTGTAGTAATGATGCCAAGTCGTGGAACATCATTTTCTGAGTTGCTTTCACTGATAATCCCGCTGCCTCAAATTGATTCCAATGCATAGCTACTCTGTATAGGGGTTTCAACGTTGTTAATCTTTACAGGAGCAAGGGGACCAGTGTCCTCATCTTTCTCCCAATAAGCGGCTGGGGGGTTTGAACCACTGACCTTCTGGTTACAAGTCCAGTGCGTATCTTACAGCACCATCAGGGCTTATCTCCACAATTGGTAAGCCCCTATGTACCACCCCAGGAGTTGCATTTGAACTATGAAAGAATCAACTATACACAACTGAGCTGGTCCAGTATGTCGTCTCGTCCTGACTGCCAAGCCAGGCTTAGAACACAGGGCTGTTTGCTAGCGGATTCTCCAACACCAGCCTACAATGTGGCGCTTTAATAAACACTTGACTGCTAACTGCAAGGCTGGCTGTTCAAACCCACCAGCTGCTCCTCGCACACTCTATATAGGTCTCTGAGTTGGAATTGACTTGCCCGAACTCAACACGCAGCACTAAATAAAGCTCTTATCGCCATCTAGAGCAGAGTGGACAGGACAGAAGGATCTGCTTGTAAACAAACCTACGTAACAGCCCTAAAAAACAAGCTCTCCAGCTTCTAAATGATTGTGGGTGTATGCATGAAACATTCTGATGGCCAGAGAAGAGAACGCCTGGCTATTTCCCAGTCACGTACTTCCCTAATTTGTACTCTTCCGGTTTGTAGCCTATGTACTTGATGAGCCGTTGTACGCCCTCTGCTGGACGCCCATGCCAGTGCGGCCAGGTATCAGGGCACAAAGACTTGTACCTGGAAGGAGAGGAGGAGAGGGACATGGAGACAGCAATGGCTCCCACCCCACCCCCACACCATCTTAGGTCCCTGCAGCAAGTCAACGGCTCAGGCCAGTACTCTCATTACACAGACTTCTTCAGAGTGAGAGATTTGACCTGGAGCTGTGGGTTAATGCGCTGGACTGCAAGGTCGGCAGTTCAAACTCACCAACTGCTCCTCGGAAACCTTATACAGGGTCACTATGAGTCAGAATTGACTCGACAGCACTAAACAACAACAACAACAAATGTGACAGCAACAACAGGTCCACCTAAAACAGCAATCTAGTCCAGCACCGAAGATAGTGTCCCCAGCTTAACGGTGACTCCAACCCTGATTTATAAACCTCACTTCAGCATTTAATGCAACTTCCTTCGTACATGCAGTTGCTATAAAGGAGTCCCAGTGTGGCGCTGTAGGATAAGTATGAGACCGCAAGGTCGGTTTGAACCGCTTGGTTAATGATTCAAACTCACCAGCCACTACTCCTCAGAAACCCAATACAGGGTCACTATGAGTTGGAACCCACTCAAAGGCACTTAACAACAAATAAAGGTAACTATGGGGCCCGGTAAGGAGCTCTGGTAGTGTAGTGGTTACGAATCGGGCTGCGAACCACAAGGTCAGCAGTTCGAAACTACCAGCTGTCCCTTGGGAGAAAGATGAGGCTTTCTGCTCCTGTAAAGATTTACAGTCTTGGAAACCCTGTACAGGGTTGCTATGAGTCGGAACTGACTCCATGGCATATAACAACAATCGAGGCCCCGTGTGGTGCTATTCGATAAGCACTGGAATGCTAGCCACAAGGTTGGCAGCTTAACTTTACCAACCACTCTGCAGGAAAAAGATGAGGCTTTCTGCTCCTACAGAGATTTAATTTACAGCCTTGGAAACTCTACACAAGGTCACTTTGAGTTGAAATTGACTAGATGATAATGAAGTGTGGTGGCAATAAAGGTAGCTGGAGTCTCTGAGTGTATAAAGGGTTAAGCACTTGACTACTCATCAAAAGATTGGTGACACTGTAAGTCCATCTTCTGCCTATGACTGATTGGAATACCTAAAATGGGGCTACAGCGTACCCAGTGAACGAGGCTTCTTGCGGAGCCTTGGCAATACATAAAACTATAGGTAGAAACCAGAACCACATCCAGATCTCCAGAGATGAGAAATCTCCACTTGAAAGGATGAGCAGACCAGCCTGGAGCGGCTAGAAGAATAAAAGATACCTCTTGAAAGAAAGAAAGACTTGCAGGAAAAATAGAGGCAGATGGACTTTTAACTTACCACAAGAACAAACAAATCGCTTCTCTAGGAAACATCCAGGCAAGTGGCCAGGTCCTCTCAACGCAAACCCCCTTCCAAGACTAAGACTCAATGGAAATGCACGCTCTGATTGGTGACCACACACAGCACCGATGGGGGAAGTGGGGTAAAAGCAGCAATGAAGCAGCAAGCTAAGCCCTACAATGTTCAGTGGACTTCTGTGGACCCAGTTGGGGACCTGGTTGGCAAGCAGTGTGAAGAGGCCTGGGATCTCTTGGGCCCAGAGTCAGTGGTGTGGCCAGGGAGGACTCGAGAGGAGAGTGGAGCTACCGGCTGATGGGAAGAGAGGACGTATGCACAGGAGCGCCCACACGTGCAGATGATACTGTAACCTGGACCGGATGACTGGATGATCAGAGCTCAACCAGGAGAGGAAAGAAGAGGGGGTGGGGGGAAAGAGTGAGCTGATACAGTCTGATGAACTTGACCTATACCTATGGAGCAGCGACTCAAAAGAAGGAACAAATCCTCACAACAAGAAACATTCACACTTACACCCACACACAGAGTGGATGGAGAAGGGCAGCTTGGACATTGGATACTCAAATGGGGAGGGGGGGGGACTACAAAGGCAAGAAGTGACTGGCTTACAAGCTTTCAAGAGGGAACCTGGTGCTAGGGAGCATGGCAGAAGGCAGAACCTCCAGTAGGTACTATTCAGTCTGTCTGGGCGGAGCTGATGAAAGGATATACAGATGGGTAACTCGTGATACTGTAGTGAATCATGCTTATCAGGATGGATTATGAAGGTTGGAAATGCAAAGGTAGAAGTTTTGTAACAAGGAAGGGAGTGATTAATTTTCCAGGATAGGAGCGGAGGCCTCTGGGACCATCAACAGAGAAGAGCCGAGAGTGGGACCCTACCCAGAGAAACAGAGATGCCTGAGACGGAGACAGAGATGATGATGTGGAGTGATGACTGGGGACTTAGGACCCAGAGAGGGAAAGGGACTGTGGGCCGAAAACTGTGGGGAAGAGGGGGAATGTGGTGGGGCAGTTTTCTGGGATATACCCTTTGGGTGGTTGATGATGCATGGAGGGGATTGGAACCATGGCAATGAGATGATATATGATGGAATGAATGTAAAACTAAAGTTCTCCCATGTAAACTAGCATATAATTCACAATAAAACATTAAAAAAAAAAAAAGATTGGTGACAAATCCATGCAGAGATGACGCAGAAGAAAGCCTTGACAATTTACTTGTAAAAGATGATAGCCGTTGAAAACCCTATGAAACAGTTCTACTACTGACACGCATGAAGTCATCAAGAGGAGGAACTGATTCCACAGCAACTGATTCTTGCTTGTTTGTTTAAATAAAGTGGCCTCGTAGGATAAGCACTGGACTGTTAACTACCAGGTAGGCAGTACAAAGCCATCAGCTGTTCTGTGGGAGATAGATGAGGCTTTCGGCTCCTGTAAAGATTTACAGCCTCGGAAACGCTACACTGGGTAGCTATGAATTGGAGTGAACTCAGTGGCTGTGAGTTTAGTTGGTTTCATGTAATTAAGTACATGAGTGTTGAATCCCGAAGTGCTTAGGGACCAAGGCTAACAGCAATACAACTGGAGCATTTGGGTTGGAATCAGACTGCCTCAGTTGGAGGCCAGCTCAGTAGCTGGATATAGTTACTTCCTTGCCTTACTTTTATTCATTTTTCTTCAAATAGCATAACACTCTCTAACATTAGGTATCAACTTGATATCATCAGTCTCCCCCACTGGAAAGCAAACTTGTTAAGGGCAGGAATAGGGGCTTATTTTCTGCTATCCCCCGCAGCACTTGGAACAGTAGTGGCACATAGTAAGTGCTCACTGATTTTTCCGGAAAGAATTCATAACCTTCAGGCAAAGTAAAAGTAGAAAAAGGATGTATGAGGTTCACAAAATTCAGAAAGATGGTAAGGCTAAGTGTGTGCCTGGGGAATGGTGGATGCAGTGAGGAAAGAGGTGGGTATTGGCTGTTAACTTCCTGCCATTTTCATCAGAAGTCAGAGTCAGACAAATGGACAGGATTAAAGGTGAATGAGTCATACGTTAGCTGATAAGCAAAAGTGATGTGCAAAAGGAGGTGCTCCCAACCCCACAAACAAACAGAAAAACAGCCAAATACAAAACATGATTTTGTGTTGGAGGGTATGGCCCCAAATGGTGGTGTTTTAATGACAAAAATAGATGGGATAAAGTGGGGAGTGGTGTGAAAACCAGCCTCTGACACCTTAGGGTTTTTGATCCTCTCAGTTTATTCATACTTGCCATCCATCTGGAGTCCTGGTGTTGCACTGTGGGGTAAGCAATGGACAGCTAACCACAAGATTGGCAGTTCAAACCCACCAGCTGCTTGGAAACCTACACAGGGTCAGGAGGAGTCAGTTTCGACTGGATGGCACTTCACAACAGTAACAAACCACCCATCCAGGCCTCCATGAGGATGCCTGCGATCTTGTTTCATGGTTTTATAGATGTGGAAGTTGGGTATGAAAAAGCCTATCCAAATATGTCTGTGGTATAAAGCACAGTAGTGCAGGCCCCCACACTTGGCTCCTGGGCCCCCTAGAAGACCTCCAAAGGTCATATTTAGGGCAGGGGTGCTTCACTCTTTGTAAAACTCCCCAAAAATGATGCCTGTTTTCAAGAAAGGACCACTCACATGGGTCAATACAATCACAAGTGTGTTTGATGCTTTAAACAGCTGTCTTGACATGAACTTCAAAATACAAACAAGTCAAGAACACAAGCTCATGTATATGATTTTATAAGGTGCTCTCCAGTCAACAGTAGCCCAGTAGTAGGTTGAACAAAATGAAATCACTGATATTCAGGCATGTTTCTTTGATGCTGGAAGCTATGCCACCAGTATTTCAAATACCAGCAGGGTAGACAGGTTTCAGGAAGCTTCTAGACTAAGACACTAGGAAGAAAGGCCTGGAAATCTACTTTGAAAATGAGCCAATGAAAATGCTACTGATCACAACAGAATACATCCAAAAAGTGATGGAAAATAAATTCCCTAGTTGGAAGCCACTCAAAATAGTCAGAAGCCACACACAATGGATTCAAGCATATCAGAAATCATGGACAAGATACGGGATCAGGCAACATTTCAGTCTGTTGTATATGAGATCACCAACTTGATGGTAATAGCAACAGTAAAAGGGGGTGGTAGTAGAGTTTATCCAAAAGTCTTTATGCACATTGTTGTTGTTGTTGTTGTTAAGTGCCGTCGAGTCGGTTCCGACCCATAGCGACCCTGTACAGGGTTTCCAAGGGTGTAAATCCTTACGGGAGTAGAAAGCCTCATCTTTCTCCCGCAGAGCGGCTGGTAGTTTCGAACCGCTGACCTTAAGGTTCGCAGCCCGATTCGTAACCACTACGCTACCAGAGCTCCTTAGACGCAAACAACTTAATGCCAATTTTCTAGAAAATAAAATGAGTCACAGCTTTAAGAGAAAGAAAGATTATTCCAACCAAAGTATGTGTGATCCCAAAGCCTGTGCCTCCAACACATGTTTGCTGCTCTTGGAAGTCTTTGAGACCCAGGGGATCGCTACCAAACCAGCAGCCCCATCACATATGGAAATAATTTCCCCAGTTCAGTACTGACCCAATCCGAATACTGTCAATGTCTGCCCCCTGGTGGCAGGTCTGTGCAATCGTATTGCACTGCTATCTAGTTGGTTCTGTCTCAATCACCAACTTCTGGGAGTGCCAGTGTGGCATTCTAAGAAAAGCACTCCTCAAGGTAGGTTTGAACCACAAGGTGAATGGTTCAAACTCACCAGCTGCTCCCTGGAAACCCTATACAGGGTCACTGAGAGTCAGAACCAACTCAATGGCACGTAGCAATAACAAATATGGTTTCTGAGGTTGTAAATCTTTACGGGAACAGTCTCATCTTTCTCTCGCACAGTGACTGGTGGATTTGAATTGCCGACCTTGTGGTTAGCAGCCTTGGACTTATCCTCCAGTACCACTGGCGTTCCTTAATAAGACGCTGGCTGAACAAAATTAAGAAAAGGTGGTATACTGAATTGAACTTGACATTTTCTGAAAATGTTAGTGTTTTTCACTGTTGTAACTAAAGCAGTTAAGAACTGAATTTCTTGGAGGATGGTAATTTATTCATTGGTATTCTTCCCCATAGGCGTAGTACATATTCTGTTCTATTAACTCCAAATCAACGTTTCTTACCTTTGCAAGAAATGCTCGTACTTCCGCCGGTATGCGAAGCCAGCCCGTCTCACCCGCAGGTGCTCCATCAGTCCCAGGTACTTGATCTGGTGCCTAATGAGGAGCTCATCAAACTTGCCTTGGAAAATACAGAAGGTGAGCAACAGGAAAGGACCCTCGGCTCCATTTCCACCAAGATGGATTACAGGCTGCAGGCTGATGGTCCATGAACTGAGTCTGACTACAGACATGTATTTTAAACCCCTAGTTATATTTCTGGAGCCCTGGTGATGCAGTCGTTAAGCACTTGGTTGCTAACGGAAAGGTCAGGGATTCAAACCCGCTTGCTGCTCCTTGGGAGAAAGATGTGGCTGTTTGCTTCATAAATATGACAGCCTTATGCTACAACCACACCACGATCAACAATAAACCTTCTCAAGTAGAAAAATATATATACATATATATGGAGTCCTGGTGTGGCGCTGTGGGTTAATGCGCCAGACTGCAAAGCCATTTGAACTGCAAGGTCTGCAGTTCAAGCTTACCAGCTGCTTCTTGGAAACCCTATACAGGGTCGCTATAGGTCGGAACCAACTCAACGGCACTTAACAATTACATATGTAAATATTTATGACGGCCTTGGAAATCTTTAAGGAGCAATTCTACTCTGACCTACAAAGTCACTCACTAAAAGTCAGCATCGACTCAATGGCTGTTTCTAATTTGTTTCTACAATGGGAGATTTTACAGGAAAATCTGGATTTCTTGTTTCCCAAGAATAAATTATGAGGTCCGGTCATCCCAGGTCTAGAGTTCTAAATTGAATGGGGTAGCTCTCTCCCCTAGGTAGGATGTGCCTTGTCCAGTTTCCTGACTTCCCACTGCAGGACTGGGGAATGTCTGGCCCTGAAACCATATAAGGCCCACAGAATCATTTGGTCTGACGGTACCAAGGCAACCACAGTTCCAGCCATCACATTAAGGGTGACTTAATGAACTGCTTGACCAAATACGATAGGTTAATATTAAGTTGATAGTTTTGTATGGCTCACGAAGTTTATATAAATTTTGACAGGAGAAAGGTTCCTGACCCCTGCCCTACTGCCTTATTCCCAATCTCCTTCACTTACTCACTTTTCCGGCCTGGCCTTCGCAAACTTAGAACCCTGTGACTCTGTCAGAGGTCACAGAAAGAGCTTAGGAAACAACCAAGCTGCAGACTGCTTTGGAAGCCTGTTGACTGTTTAGAAACTGCAATGTTTCCCCGACCAGTGAAGCAGTTGTTCCCACTGAGTGACTCCTGAAACATACCAATCTCCATGTGAAATACACTTAGTACTACCAGAGGATCCTAATCCATTTACCTCATGCCATTTAAGAAATGGAGTCCTGGTGCGGCGCTGTGGGTTAATGAGCTGGATTGCAAAGTTGGTTTGCACAGCAAGGTCGGTGGTTCAAGCTCACCGGCCGCTCCTTGGAAACCCTATACAGGGTCACTATGGGTCGGAACCGACTCGATGGCACTCAACAACAAAAAGTTTAGGAAATAGAACCAATACATGCACAGAGAACAATGAGTGAGCCTGTGGTGATTCTTAGGGTTCTCGCCCACTGCCATCTCCCTGTTTCTCCCAGCCTCATTTCCCTGCGTTCGGGATTCAGAATGACCCAGGACTTACGAGGCTCTTTCCCATCATTGGGCTTGATGCAGCGGATATAGGAGGGCTCTTTAGAGATGAGAATTTCTAGAAGGCTGCTCAGACTGTTCTTAAACTGAGTCCCCACCTATGGAGAGAAAGAACGAGGCGCACAGATGCTGACTGCACACAGTGCGGAGAAGTCCCGGCCTTTAGATCTAAAGTCCCTTCTGGTTGTCTTGCCTGTTGTTAGTTTGCCAGTTAAAGGGGTGTCCTGACCTGTAAAGTCCCAGGTTGGTTTACTCAAGTGGAAGCGGGGCAGGGCAAGTCTTGGTCCCAGAAACGTCCTCCCTTCCTTCCATGTCCCACACCCACTGACCCCCAGTCATCACCACGATCCTTCTCAGATTAGCCTTGTTTCCATTATGACTCTTCATGCAGTCATATCTTCCATATTTACATGATGGCATGTCCCCTACATAGCTGTCCCACTGGATCATAAGGCTCAGGAGGGCAAGGACCTCTGCTCTCTTATTATTGCTACATTCCCTGTGCCCAGTATCTGACACATAGTAAATGCTCAACAGACATTTTCCAATAATTGAACTGGCTACTCAATTCGGAAAGTGTGTATTTCATTGTTGTTGTTTTTAAGTGCCATGGAGTCTGATCCGACTTACAGCAAGCCTGTAACAGGGTTTCCTATGAGTACCTGGTGAGTTTGAATTGTCAACCTTGTGGTTCAAAGTGACCTTGCAGTCCAGTGCTTTACGCCACACCAGGACTCCATGAATTAGAACCGTTAAAAGAATGGAATCTCTGATTGCTGTAGACAGTTAATGTTCTCTCAGCTGCTAACCAAAAGGTTGGAGTCTGAGTTTACTGAGAGGTACCTCGGAAGAACGCCTCGTGGTCTAATTCCCGATAAAACTTAGTCATTGATAACCCACTGGAAACCTAAATCATAGTTCTACTTTGACACAGGGTTATCTCAGGTTGGAATTGACTTGATGGCAACATTTCTACTGGGTTGGATGAGAAGTTTTACTTCTGGAAAAGAGGGAGAATGATTGAGACAATGTAGAGAACTGGATGGAGATAATTGCTCCATCTGGGTGATTTTTGTTAATGTGGTAATTTTGTATGAGCATTTCCACCACTCACCGTTGGTGGCCTCCTCCGGTTTTTTAACTCAGCTACATGGAAACATTCCCTCAGAATGCTGTTTTTGGACCAACACAACACCTGTATGTGGAGAGAAACGGGCACCAAATCAGCTGCTTCTGAAATCGCTCGGGGCCATCAGGAAAGCTCTTGGAGATGTGTCAGGTCCCAGAGCCCTTAGCTTTCTCCAGGCACTAACCACACATGGAAACATACCACACATGGGAGAACATGCTCCAATTCCATTTTAGTGCTTTGTCTACTTGATGAGACCATCTGATTACCTTCCCAATAAGATGAAATGAAAATTGTTCCCACTTCAGTGCAGCTGTTGAAGAATGAACCAGCTCTTTAAGAATGAGCTCTAAGATTGTAATCATTGCAATGAAAGGGTGAATGTAAAATGGAAGTTCTCCCATGTAAACTATCACTCAATTCACAACGACAACAGCAAAAGGAGCTCCAAGACACTGTGTTAAGTGAAAGAAGCAGGGTGTAGAACTACCTGCTATGACTGTGTACCCAGAAAGTGAAGGGGAGACACACACAGTTCTGAACTTAATTGTGCACCTCCAAATGATGTGTCTGTAAACATGCCTGTTGGAAACAGGAAGGAGCTCTGTTGGTTAAGTGCTTGACTGTTAACCAAAAGGTAAGAAGTTTTCTCCCAGAAACAATGCAGAAGACGAGACCTGGAGATTGTCCCGTAAAGATCACAGCTTCGGAAGCCTGTGAGGTAGTCTTACTCTATCCTATAAGGCTGTTAAGAGTCAGAATTGACTAGATGTCAGTTTGATTTAGAAAGATGGGGTTCTTTTGTTATGTTAATGAGATCCTTACCAAAGTAGGGTGAATCCTACACCTAATTACCTGTCAGCTATAAAAAAAAACAACAAAAAAAAAAACGGATTACACACACACACACACAGGAAGACAGGTGCAAAGAAACACCAAGCTATGCTAATGACAGTAGACCACGGAAGAAATGAGCATGGCTGATGCCCTGAGTTAGACTTTTATCCTCCAAATTGTAAGCCAATACGAGGGGGCTGTAACATATTCTTGGAAATATTCCATTCTTTTCCAATTTCATCATTCCATGAAATTTTTGAAGCCTGCCCATACATTCCTCTTCTTTAAAGTCACCCATGTGTGATATTTCTGATATGGTAGCTCTAGGTCTTTAATACAGACCCATGGACACTCCCCACCACACCCCCTACATCACAGTGGTGTGTACCATCCCTGGACGGTTATACAATACACTGATGAGAACAATACCCTCTAGGAAGAGGAACTGGGTCACCTGAGGTCAAGGGTAGAAGAGAGAATACCTTCTGTACTGTGTGTATTTTTTTCTTGTGCATCCGTTTTTGAAAATCAGCAATACATTATAAAAAGTCCTTGCTATTTTAAAATTTGAATTCTGCAAGTATTGAATTAGACAGCAAGTATTTAGTTTAACACCTGCACAGCAGAGGGGGACTCCCCACACTTGCATCAGCCTGTGGAATAACGGGCTCATTCAGATGATCTGAAAGGTCTTTTCCAACCATGCCACGCTCAAGTTCTATTATATTGCATGGAGAAGAAGAATCTAGAAGACAAACTACTGTTAGGGTCAGTGCCATAGGTGATATGTCTGGTCAGAACCACTTACAGCTATGCGTCAGACTTACTTCTTTCAGATGTCTATAAAGTAGATCATTGTTTTTCTCCAAGAATCCTGGAAAAGATTGAAAAAGACAAAAAAAAAAGTTTGTACTTTTTGTCTAAAAATGCCGTCGGTTGCAATGAAAAACAAAGGGAAATCTTAAAAATAACTTCTTAGGATTAGATAAAGGTTTCTCCACCTCCATGCTACAGTGATTTGGACCAGATAATATAAAAACAGAATTTTAAAGTTAGAAAGACTTCAAATGGCATGCATGAATGTGAGATGTGGGATATTTCAGCCAGACAAGTTGCATTCCCTCAGTGTACACACGCTTAACACCTGCGCGTGCACATACACACACGCACAGTAGCCGCATGCCACTCACCCTTGGTGCAGTAGGTGACCTCTCCCGCATAATGGAAGAGGCGGAACTCCATCCAGCCCATCCTCTTTCGGCCCTTGGCACCCGCCAGCTTACGGCTGCAGCAAAACAGAAACAGGCCTGAACTGAAACTCTATAGTTAACCAGAATGTGAGAGCAGTTGTTCTTAAAAATGAAAGCGTGCCACCGAGCGGGCCTCCCAGAAAGCCTTGTTACTTATTTCATCTGATTATAGAGCAAGGTCTCTCTAGCTAGCCCTCTTCTCAGTGGCACTGAGGAATGAAAACACACAAAGGAGTCACAGAACATACCTGTACAGCCTCCACTGTCCTAGAAGGTGACTACAAAACAATGTACAAGCATGCTTTTTTAGGACATTGTGAGACAACCTTGAGGCTATGGTAATTGATGTTTTTTAAGTTTGTACTGAAATAATAATATATATGCTGACAGTTCACATATCTTAGTGTATATCTCAATCAATTTTCGCAAACTGAATACACTCATGTAACCAGAAACAGAACATTACTTGTCCCCAGGGACACCCCGCATCACCCCTTGAGCCATTCTCCCATCACTACTCAACCTCTGACAGCCTACGCTAGTTTAACCTGGCTGTATACTTTACAGAGGAAGCACTGGTGGTAAGCACTGTACTGTGAACCAATAGGTTGGCAGTTTGAACCCACCAGTTACTCCTCAGGAGAAAGATGAGGTAGTCTACTTCTGTAAAGATAGTCTCAAAAAGCCTGTACAGATTTGCTGAGTTGGTACAGATGGTACAGAACAGACTTTATAGAAGGAACTTTGGTGATGCACTGATTAAAGTATTCGGCTAACTGAAAGCTTGGTGTGGTTCTAACCCACCAGCTGCTCTGTAGGAGAAAAGGCCTGGCAATCTGCTGGCATAAAGAAAACGCCTAGGAAACCTTATAGGGCATTTGTACTCTTTCCTATAGATAGCATCGCTATGTGTTGGAATCAACTCAACAGCACACAACATGCTTCATGGTTAAGCAGTTGAGTACGGCTGACAATTATCCACCCAGAGGCACTGGAGAACACAGACCTTGAGGTCTGCTTCCAGAAGGTCACAGCCTTGAAAACCCTATGTAGCAGTTCTCTGCATGCGTGGGGTCGCCATGAATTGCAATCAAGTCAAGGACAACTTAATGTTCTTTATAGAAAAGGAACCCTATACCATTATTTTGTGCCTATCCTTTTTGGTTCATGTTTGTGTGATTCACTTTTATCATTGCGTGGAGAAAGAGAAATCAATATTCTAAAGTACTTTTCAAAATTATTGTTACTAAGTGCCAATGAGTCAGTTCCAACTCACAGCAACCCTGAATAGGGTTTCTGAGGATCAGCTGGTGGGTTTGAACTGCCAACCTTGTGGTTAGCAGCCCAGTGCTGATCCAACTGCACCACACCAGGACTTGTTAAGAACCACTGCTTATTGAGTCTTCACTGTGGTAGGCACTTTACACATTATGAATGACTCTTCATTGTCATTTACAATGCTCTCTATGGTTCAAGCTCACCAGCTACTCCTTGGAAACCTTATACAGGGTTGCTATGGGTTGGAACCGACTCAAAGGCACTTAACAACAGTAGTTATGGGCTCCTGGTGTGCCACTGTAGCTCACAAGGAACTGTTCAAACCCACCAGCTGCTCCTTGGAAACCCTATACAGGGTCGCCGTGAGTCAGAACTGATACAATGGCATTTAACAACATGGTAGGTACTGGAGGCAGTGGTAATTCTGTGGAAGAATCTGGCTTTCCATGTTGGAGATCTAAGTTTGATTCTCAGCCAGTACACCTTGTGTGCAACTCCCACTCATCTGTCAGTGGGGGTCCTATGTCTTGCTGTGATGCTGAACCAACTTCAGTGGAGCTTCCAGACTAAGACAGACTAGGAAGAAGAGCCTAGAAATCTACTTCCAAAAATCAGTCAATGAAAACCCTATGAATTAGGCAATGTTTTGTTTCATTTTGTACGAGGTTGTCATGAGTCAGGCCAAGATGCAGCCACTAATAACAGCGTTGTTGTTGCCAAGAGCCATTAAGTCAGTTCTGACCAATAGCCACCCTGTATAGGGTTTCTGAGGAGCAGCCAGTGAGCTTGAATCAGAGACCTGGAGGTTCAAATTGACTTTGTAGTCCAGTGCATTAACCCACAGCACCTCATAGGTATAGTAATAGTCCCATCTTGGGAAAGACAAAACCCAAATGCAGTAGCATTAAGTTGCTTGCTCAAGATTACATGTCTAGGAAGTAGGTGAGTTGGGACTGGAAATCATGTCTTTAAGGAGTACTGGTGTGATGTTGTAGGATAAGCACTGGACCACTAGGTCGGTTTGAAATGAAAGGTTGGCAGTTTAAACTCACTAGTCACTCCTTGGTAACTCTATATGGGGTTGCTATGAGTCGGAACCAACTTGACAGCACTTAACAATAGCAACATGTGTTTGTTTTTTAATTAATTAACTTTACGGTGAACTGAGTGATAGCTTTATACCATCATTTCATTGCAATAGTAACAATCTCCTCGGCACATCATTATTCAACAGTATTTGCTTCCCTTCCCTCTGTTTTTCTTTTTTTGGGGGGGATTTGGGGAGATGTACACAAAAACACTCAGGAATGTATCAGAATTTAAACAACCAAAGGGCTCATTCTACAAGCCTGCCTCCTGGTGACCAACACCTGACTGCCAGCACACAGCCTTTCTCTTTCCATGAGTAACAGCGTGTGTTTTAACATCACTTGTCCTACTTCCTCCTTGTGACTTTTGTTTCTAATTCCTCACACGGCCCCCATCTTTCTGAATTCTGTCTTTAGGTAAATGGTGATTTTTAATCTCAAATAGTTGACCATTCTATATGGTGTGTGTGCCTCACTATGACAGTTGTCCCTTCTATATACCTAACATATCTATTGCTTGGCTAATCACTGAAGCATGGAGTGAGTTCATTTCCAAGCCTGAAGGGTGGTCCAGCTCCAACACATTACTGTATGTATTTTACATGTGTTTTACACCTGAATTTTTAAAAATGACTATTTTCTGGCATTTGGGAACATCCAAAATCATTGAATAAAGCAGGATGAAAAAAGCTTTTTAAAACATTTTAGTTGAAATTCATTTGAATTTGCTATCTATTGACAAAAGCTATTCATATACTAAGGGGCTTCAAAAAATCTGAGGAAAAAAAGGAATTGAAAGATAATATAATTTTTCCATGAACTTTTTGAAGCACCCTCATCTGTTAGTTGTTGTCAAGTGCCGTCGAGTTGATTCTGACCCATAGTGACCCTGCACTGGGCTTCCAAAGAGCAGCTGGTGAACTTGAGCCATTGACCTTGTAGTTCAAACAACTTTGCAGTCTGATGCATTAGCCCACAGCGCCATACCAGGAATGAGTTAGTTATCTTAATGATGTTTCTATGTATACAGTATTCTTAGGCAGGACTGCCTACGTACCAGAGAAAGGAAATACACAATGATTGTGCCACAGCCTGTCTAATGAAGTACGTACGTTTGGAAGTGTGCATGCTTGCCCACTTTCTCTTCCAATTTCTCCAGGAAACTCAAGTCTGTAGCAGGCCCAGGCCGAATACATTCTTCATCCTTCAGAAGAAAAAAGAGAAGCCTCAAAGAAAGAAAATCATATTCCGTCCATTCCAAGTTTAAATGTTTTCAACAGCTATGGCAGAATGTCTCAAAACTCTCACTGCCATCTAGTCTAGACCAACGCGAGTAAAGAGTCTCATCTTTCTTCTGAGGAGTGGCTGGTAGATTTGAACTGCCAACCTTGCAGTTAGCAGTGCAGTGCTTATCCTACAGTGCCACCAGAGTTCCTTGTGGCAGAATGCAGTGGACTAAAAATGCTCTTTTAACCCTGGTGTGGCACTGTGGGATGAGCACTGGATTGCGAACTGCCAAGTCTGCAGTTCAAACCCACCAGCCGCTCTTATAAATCCTATACAGAATTGCTATGAGTTAGAACCCATTCAGAGGCACACCACCAACAAAAATACTGTTGTCTCAGATTAGGGCAGGTGGCATGAAGGGGGGTGACTTATCTGTCACATGTTCTCAGCTTCCCATATTCAACAATGGAACTATGGAAACAAAACAACTGGAAATCCCTTGAAAAGTTGCCGATCTGTCTGAGCATTGTCTTTCCAGAATCTCCCAATCATGTTCCACAGCTTCTGTGACCAATTTACCTAAACGCTCAGCTTCATTTTCTCTTAACTAGTCATCATGCACAACACTACTGTGTATCCACCTCTTTGTATTGTACTAGGAGCAAAGGCTTCATAGAAAGAAAGAAAAAAAAAAATAAAGCTATAAAACCAGTAGGGTCTCAAGCTGTATTTGTTTTTCAGACTGTGTTATGAATTGACTGATATTGCCTTAAAAGATACATTGACATCTAAACCCCTAGAACCTGTGAAGACAACTTTATTTGGAGGCAGAATCTTTGAGGATATTATCAGTTACAAGTTAACATGCAGTCATACTGGAGGAGTAGTAGTAGTTGTTGTTGTTGTTGTTGTTGTTAGGTGCCATAGAGTCAGTAAGAACTCATAGCGACCCTATGTACAACAGAACGAAATACTGCCTGATCCTGGGCCAATCTCACAATTGTTGCCACGCTTGAGCCCTTTGATGCTGCCACTTTGCCAATCCATCTCGCTGAGGATCTTTCTCTTTTTCTTTTTCTGATCATCATCAAACATGATAATGGTATCTTTCTCCAGTGACTGGTCCCACCTGATAATATGTCCCAAGTATGAGAGATGGAGTTTGGCCATCCTGGCCTCCAAGGAACACTCTGGCTGCACTTCGTCCAACACAGATCTGTTGGTTCTTTTGGCAGCCCATGGCACTTTCAATATTCTCCTCCAATACTATAACTCAAATGCATCAATTCTTCTAAGGTCTTCCTTATTCACTGTCAAGCTTTCGCATGGCTATGAGATTATTGAAAATACCATGGCTTGGGTCAGGCACACCTTAGTTCTCAAGCTGACATATTTGTTCTTCACTTTAAAAATGTCTTGTGCAGCAGATTTGCCTAATGCAATACGTCATTTAATTTCTTGACTGCTGCTTCCGTGAGTGTTGATAGTTGATCCAAGAAGAATGAAGTCCTTGACAACTTCAATCTTTTCTCTGTTGATAAGAATGTTGTTTATTGGTCCAGTGATGAGGATTTTTGTTTTCTTTACATTGAGATGTAATCCATACCAAAGGCTATGCTCTTTGATCTTCATCAGTAAATGTTTTAAGTCCTCTTCACTTTCAGCAAGCAAGGTTGTATCCTATGTAGGGTGAATCCTAATTTCATCTGAGTGCCATCCTTATCAAAAGATCAGAGAAACCAAGACACAGAGACACATAGAGGGAAGATGGCCATGGGAAGCTACATCTACCGGACAAGGAATGCCAAGAAACACCTTGTGCTACAAAAGGCTGGAAGAGATAAGGAAGGTCTTCTGCTAAAATCTACAGAAAACATGACTCTACTAATGTCCTGAATTTGTGCTCCTGGCCTCCAGGACTCAGAGACAATAAGAGTCTGATTCCTTAAAGTCCCTTTTGTAGTATTTTGTTAGCTCTAGGAAACGAACATACTGTGCCTGTCAATTTCCTATTGTTGGTCCTCATAGTGATTATATTTAACTGACCATCTTAAAAACTGACGCTGAATCATCTGTCGCTTTTATTGAAAAAACAAAAAGCCATTAGAGTTCGGTGTGCTGAGACAATTTTTATGGAGGAGTTCATCTACGGAAAGCCAGATAGAAACAAGCTGTTGTTGTTAGGTGCCATCAGTGTGTTCGGATTCAGTAACCCGATGTATGACAGAATGAAGTACTGCTCTGTCCCGCACCATTCCGTACAATCTCCCCTATGTTATGAGCCTGGTTTTGCAGCCACTGAGTCAATCCATCTCATTGAGGGGTCTTCTTATCCTTTGACCTCTTTACGTTAGCAAGTATGATATCCTTCTCCAGGGACAGGTATCTCCTAATAACATGTCCAGAGTATATCAAATGATGTCTTGCCTTCCTCACTTCTAAGAAGCATTCTAACTGTACTTGTTTCAAGACAGATTTGTTGGTTCTTTTGGCAGTCTATGATATGTTTGATGTTCTTTACCAACACCATAATTCAAATGCATCATCTCTTCTTTGAGCTTCCCTAGTCACTGCTCAGCTTTCACGTGCATATGAAGCCATGGAAAATACCATAGTGGGTCAGGTTCACCCAGTCCGCACGCAAAGTGACATCTTTGCTCTTTAACACTTTAAAGAGGTCTTTTGCAGCAGATCTTTCCAATGTACTACATCATTTGATTTCCTGACTGCTGCTTCATTGGCACTGATTGTGAATCTAAGTTTAAAACCATAGTCTTCAAAACATCAGTCTTCTCCATTTATCACAATGTTGTTTATTGACCCAGTTGTGAGGGTTTTTGTTTTCTTTACATTAAGGCTGTAATCTTTGATCTTCATTAGTAAGTGCATCAAGAACTGATTGCTTTCTTTCAGCAAGCAAGTTGTATCATCTGTATATTCAAAGCTGTTAATGAGCCTTCCTCCAATTCTGAGGGAGTGTCCTTCTTCATATAGTTCAACTTCTCAAATTATTTGCTCAGCATACAGACTAAATAAGTAAGGCTACTACTTGGGCACCTACCTTTCCTGATTTAAGTCACACAATCTCCCCTTGTTTTATTCCAACAACGGTATCTATTTGCTGGTTCTGCATGAGAACAATGAAATGTTCAGAAATTCCCATTGTTTTTTAAATGTAATCCGTGATTTGTTAAGATCCACAGTCAAATGCTTTTTCATAGTGCTATTACTAAAATATCGTTCCATATGATAAGCACCCACAAGGTCCATGGTTTGAGACTGCCTGCCGCTCCTCAGGAGAAAGATGAGGCTTTCTGCTCCCAAGAAGATGTGAAGTCTAGGAAATCCTATATAGAGTCGCTATGAGTCGGAACCAACTCAATGGCACTTAACAACAATTACTAATGTATTTTAAAATATGAGTTTGATAATCTATATGGCATTCTGGTGTGGCACTGTAGGATAAGCACTTGACTGCTAACCAAAAGGAAATCCTATACAGGGTCGCTGTGAGTTGGAATTGACTTACAGGGTTTTTGGAATCCTGGTGTGGTAACACTGGTCTGCAAGGTGTGTTTGAACTGTAAAATCAGTGGTTCAAGCTCACCAGCTGCTCCTCAGAAACGGTTTACAGGGTCACTATGAGCTGGAACCAACTCAGTGGCACTAACAGTAACAACAACAAATACCTGTTTGGACAAGGAGGCTTTCTTTTGTTATGTTACCGAGCCACATGATGTAGGATGGATATTAAAACTAAGCATTTCTAAGTTACAAAAGGATCGGAATAGACAGAGACACACACAGGGGGAAGAGAAAGACAATAAAGATAGACGCCTATACAAGCCTAGGAATGCTGAGGATTTCCGGAAGCAATTCCAAGTCCTGGTGTGGTGCTGCGGGATAATGCACTGAACCGCAAGGTTTATTTGAGCCATAAGATCGGCAGCTCAAACTCATCAGTCGCTCCTCAGAAACCCTATTCAGGGTCATCATGAGTCGGAACAGACTTGAAAGCACTTAACAACATTTCAAGGTGACATGGTGACTCTGTAGGGTAAGCACTGGACTATGGACCACAAGGTTGGAGTTCCACAGGAGAAAGATGAGGCTTTTGTTTCCTGATAAGATTTACAGCCTTGGAAACCCTAAACAGGGTCACGATGAGTCAGAACCGACTCCACAGTACTTAACAACAGCAACAATTCCAAGCTGAAAAGAGACAAAGAAGGACTTTCTCCGCTTAGAGCTGGTGCCCTGAATTTGGACTGTTAGCCTTGGGAATTACAAGATGATAAATTTCTGTTCTTTAGAGCCATCTACTTATGATATTTTTATTACAGCAGAGCTAGGGAGCTAAGATTCAACCCATGTGCTTTAGAATGTTGGGCTGACACAGCTGTCAGTGGACGAGGGCATTCCTGTTTTATTTTTTTCAAAGTGTGTCAATAGTCACGCAGTTGATCCCAAACAAAAGAGGCAAACATTATGTTTTGATTTTTCTTCTTTGTCTTTAGAATATATATCTTACAAAATGATGTTTGACTTGAAACAATTTTGGGTTTGAGAACACCCCTCTTCTCAGATGCCACACTACTTCAAAACAGTGTCTACGTTAAGGACCCTTGACTCAGCATCCATCCATGTTCTTTATAAAACCTTCCTGTCTTCTGTCTGCTCTCAGTTCCATGCTAAGGAGGAGAGAGCTGCCTCTTTCTGTGCATCTTCAGAGCTGTAGCTCACCTTCCCCCAGATGAAGGACAGAACAAAATCCTTCACCTCTACGGTGTCCTCTTGCCACGGCTCATTGACTATAATGTAGGTCAGAGAGTTTAAATAAAAAGAAAGCCAACCAGTTGCTATACAGCTAATTGTGACTCATGGCAACCTCACATGGGTCACATTGAAAGTCCATAGGGCTTTCAATGACTAATTTTTCAGAAGTTGATTGCCAGGCCTTTCTTCTGAGGTGTCTCTCATTGGACCCAAATCACCAACCTTCCAGCTAGCAACCGAGCACATTAACTGTTTGTGCCATGCAAGGTGTGCCATCAGCTCAACCTGAAGCTCCAAGCAAGAGTAGAGCAAAAAAAAATAAAAGCTCAATTTGTGCCCTTCAGTAATCGAGTGGTCTCCACTCTGAACTCTCTCAGCCAGGGAAGAGTTCTTGTGTATGTTGTAAACACCATATGTTGTTGTTGTTGTTATGTGCCGTGGAGTCAGTTCCGACTCATAGCAACCCTGTACAGGGTTTTAAAGGCTGTAAATCTTTATGGGAGCAGAAAGTCTCATCTTTCTGCCATGGAACAGCTGGTAGTTTCAAACTGCTGACCACTATGCTACCAGAGCTCCTTTAACACCAAATGCATCAACTCAAAGTCAATATTCTCTTTCTCACCAGAATGGAAATGATGCCTCTGTGTCTCTCTTCTACCAAATCACAAATGATCTTGTTGTTGAAATATTGTATTGGCTCCCACTAGAATGACAAAGAGAAACACATATTGATTATCAAAAATGTTTTTAAAAATCTGATTTCTATATCCAGCATTTAAAAAAGATGACTTTCTGAAAATCAAAACAATTTCCCAGGAAATAAGCAGAGAAAGAATTAATAGTTCCCATGATAATCTTTTCATTAGATTAAGAAATCAATTGAGGGGGAAACACCAAAATGTTTACCTCTATACCTTCCATTTCATATTCTGCCTGTTCCGCCTTTAGGGTTCTCTCTATTAAAAGTTGCTGAAGTTTTTCATTGCAGTAATTTATACAGAATTGTTCAAAACTAGAGATGTAAAAGATTTAAATAATGAAAGCTATGAAAAAAATTGTATTTTTAAGGATGCTTTTTAGTCAAGAAAAGACACAGTCCTTAACAGTCAAATAATTCATGATCTTGCATCAAGCTAAAGATGTTTGCATTGGCTATTTCACTTCTAGAACAGTCTGTGAGACAGGGGCTATAAAATTAGACAATTTCTGGGGATGGGAAAATCAATTATTATAACATTAGAGCAGTCTTTGATCTCAACTAAAACCCTAAAGAGGGACAAGAATTTAATGACAAAACTCACCCATTTTTATCGAAGACTTCAAACCCATAGATATCCAGCAACCCAATCACTGTTTTCTTGGTGAAATCCTAATCAACATAAGACATACCACATTCATGAAATCTTCGACTCAGTGACTCTCCAAACCCTGTGACTCTTCTAGAGTTGAACCCAGAATTACCATGTTGTTGTTGGGTGCCATTTGAGTCACTTCCAACTCATAGTGACCCTATGTACAATAGGTCCTGTGTCAGACTCATAATTGTTACACTTAAACCAATTGCTGATGCCACTGTGCCAATCCATTTCATTGGGGGAGGGGGTCTTCCTCTATTTTTCTGACCCTCCACTTTATCAAGCATGATGTCCTTTCTCCAGGGACTGGTCCCTCCTGACAACATGTCCAAAGTATGAGAGATGAAGTCTGTACATCCTGGCTTGTAAGGAGTATTCTGGCTGTACATCTTCCACCACAGATTTATTCTTATAGCCATCTGTGGTACTTTTAATATTCTTCTCCAACACCATTACTTCTACATCAATTCTTCTACGGTCTTCCTTATTCATTGTCCAACTTTCACATATATACGAGGCTATTGAAAATACCATGGACTGATGATCCAGCCAGCCGCCACTGGACACAGCTGTGTTTTGCCCTTTGTAGTGTACAACCCCAGGAGAAATCTTCCACTTTCCAGGCAGTCAGAGTCATTTATAAGTTGTAAGCCCCAGGGAGGAGTGATATACAATCACCCACTAGGGTAGGATATGCTCCAAATCTACAAGGTTGACACTGGCCAGCCTGGATTGGCTCTTACTAAGAGAGGGGGACACATGGGGAAAGGTAGAGGCCCCACTCAATAGTTTTCATCTTGTCTAGATGGATCCAGTGAAAAGAGATGGGGATAAGATTCTGATGATTCAATAGTGAGTAACTGTTATCATGACTAATTGTGACTGTTACAACGGTAAAGGTAGAAGTTTTGTAACAAAAACAGGGGAGTAGTTCATCTTAAAGTCCAGAAACAGAGGACTCTGGGACCATCAAGGGAAAAGAGCCCAAGTGGAATGCAGGACCCTATCCAGAGAAGCAGCAACATCAGAGATGGAGGCAGAGATGAAGACAAGGAGAGAGAGCAGCTAAGGACTCTGGAGTCATGGAAAGAGAGGGCCTGGGTTCTGGCGGCTAGGAGGCAGGCTTGCAGAATGTGCCCCTTTGGTTGTTTAAATTATTATATATTCCTGTTTCTATGTATATCTCCCCACTCCCCCCACCAAATAATCCCCAAAACAAAAAAACATAGCAAATGGAAGCAGATACTGTTGAATGATGATGCACACAGGAGATTGTATTCATTGCAATGAAATGATGGTGTAAAGCCGATGTTCTCCCATGTAAATTATCACTCAGTTCACAATAAAAACTTAAAAATAAATAAATAAAAAGCAGTTATTTATAGACAATTTTATCAGAATTTGGGGTAACCTTGAGTTTTGTTTAGTAAGCAGATATTGTGGTAGGCAGAATTCTAAGGTGGCTTCTCAAATTGTCCCTGCCTTCTTATACTGGCCTTGATAATCCTCTCTCATGGAATGGACAGGACCTGCAAACATGATTGGCTATTATTCCTTTGGGAGGAAAGAAAAAAGAGGTGGGGACATGTGGGGACAGTGTGGGGAGGATGGAAAGGAGGCAGGAGATCTGTGTGGGCCTTCTGGGTGTAGTGTGACCAATATGAACTTTCCTAGGTGACTGTAAAGGCAAGAAGCCAGTAGATGGTGGAGCACACCACCTATTGGCAGAGAAACTATAGATTTACAGGTTTTGTTTTTCTTTATTCACTGTAATGGCTGCATTTTGTTGTTGTTGTTTCTTTGTTTTCCTTCTTTTACATCACACAACAGAAGACAGCAACTGTGGCCAAGGCTAAGCTACAGTTGTTCCCTCTACAGCCCTATCAACTGGGCAAGAGCCAATATCAGCTGCTATACAGCAATCAACATCTGCTAAAACCACTCTGAATTAAACTGTATGAACAGTGAACAGAGAAGCCCATATGCTGATCACACCTACCAGGAGGTTGTTGGTGAGTGTCTAAGAAGACACTAGCATACATTCATCAAGTTAATACAAATTTAACAATATCACAATGCCTAAAAAGCCGAAGAACATTTCTGTTCATACCCAGAAACAAGAGAGAGTAGCACAGACAAATGACCAAGAGGAAGAGCCAGAAAATGATTTTGAGGTAGAAAAGGCACTAGAGCTACCTGAAAAATAATTCAGTGGAATGATATTGTGGTACAACCAAAGGTTTCACAAAAAGGTAGAGGAAAACAAGGAAGAATTCAGAAAAGTGCTGCAGGAACAATTGAACAAAATACATACAGTCCTGGAGACAATACAAAACCTCCAGAGGTACAGATGATCAGTATTAAAGTATCAGAAATGGACAATACAGAGGGCAAAGGAGTAGAATTGGATCAGTGGAAGCCAGAATTAGCAAGCCTGAAGTTAAATTTCCTAATAGTAGCAAGATAGAAGAACAATCAGAAAAAAGAATGAAAAAATCTGAAGAAACCCTAAGATTCATGTGGGAGAACACGAAAAGGAATAACCAATGAACAACTGGAATTCTAGAACAGGAAAAGACAAAGAAAACCACAGAGAAGATCGTGGAAGAGCTGCTGAAAGAATGTTTCCCTAACATCATGAAAGACAACAAGATCGGCATTCAAGAAGCAGAACGAACCCCAGGCAGGACAGATCCCAAAAGAAAATCACCAAGACATGTATCATAATCAAACTTTCCAAAATCAAAGATAAGGAAAGAATCTTGAAAACAGATAGGGGAAAAACAAAGTGTTACCTACAAAGGAAAACCAACAAGATTAAACTCTGATATTTCAGCAGAAACCATGTAGTCAAGAAGGCAATGAGGAAACATACAAAAGTCTGAAAGAAAAAAACTGCCAACCCAGAATCATATACCCATCCAATATGCTGGCAAAATTAAAACATTTCAGGATAAACAAAAATTAAAGAACTATGTAAAAGCCAAGCTAATGCCCCAAAATATACTAAAGGGATGGCAATACCACCTAGAAATCAGTCCAGATATGGAAGGGTCCAGAACAGAATAAAAATACCAGACTGAAAATATGGTATCTGGGATGTCAGACTACCATCAGAACAACTACAAAGTAAAAGGAGGGGAAAGTATAGTTGTACAGTTCTAGGTGGTGAGGAGGTCAGTTACATTTTAGGATATAACAGTTTTAAAATGAAGAAGAAATTAATGATGTACAGAGTAACCCTAAAGAAACTTAATATACCTTCACAGGGTTTTAATAGCAACTCAAGCAATGGAAAATCCAAGAAGATTTTTGAAACATTAAAACAACGCATAATTTGACATGAAAAAGCACACACAAAAACCTGACTCAGCACAGGAAAGCATGCAGAACCAAGAAAGCCGCAGCACCACACACGAAAAACCAACAGTAAAATGACTGCAATCAGAATGTGCCCTTTGGTTGTTATAAATGAATATATATACCTGAGTGTTTTTGTGTACATCCTCCTCCCCCCACCAAAAAAAAATACAACAGAGGGAATAGAAGCAAAAATACTGCTTACTGATGATGCATGAAGGAGACTGTTTTCTTCACAGTGAAACAATGAGTGTAAAACTGATGTTCTTCCATGTAAACAATCAATTCACACACACAAAAATTTTAAAACCCCCCAAAATTTTAAAAAATTACTGCAATCAATCCATACCTATCGATAATTACACTGAAAGTCAATGGATTAAATGCACCAGTCAAGAGACACAGAGTAGCACAATGGATAAGAAAACAGGAACCTTCAAAATTCTACCCATAAAAAAAAAAAAAATTCTGTCTATGAGAGACACACCTTACATACAACAGGTTAAAAATTAAAGGATGTAAAAAATATATCAAGCTAATTGCAATAAAAAATGAGCAGGGGTGACAATATCAGTCTCTGATAAAATAAACTTTAAGGCATAAACCGTCATAAAAGACAGACATTATTTCATGATTAAAGGGTCAATTGAACAAGAGGACATAACCATAATAAGTATCTATGCTCCCCCAAAAGCCTCAAAATACATAAATAAAACCCTAATAAAACTTAAAGAAATACAGAACTCTGCAATTAGTGAGATATTTTAATCCACCACTTTTGAAAAAGGACTGAACAGCCAGAAACTCAACAAAGACACAGAAGAACTGAACAATCAACTTGACCTCTTAGATTTGTACAGAACATTCAATCCAACAACAGCATAATACACAGTCTTCCCTAGTGCACATGGAACAGTCTCCAGAATAGACCATGTGTTAGGCCACAAAACAAGTCAATAAATTTAAAAATAAAATATTACAAAGTTATCTTCTCGGATCACAATGCTATAAAATTAGAAATCAGCAATAGGAAAATCAAGGAAATAAGATCAAATACATAGAAAATCAAAATGGAAAACACCCTGCTTAGAAGCTACTGGGTAGTAGGGGGTGAAAAATGAAATTTAAAATTTTCCTAGAAACCAATGAAAATTAAAATACAACATACCAAAACCTATGAGATACAGTAAAAGCAGTGCTGAAAGGGCAATTTATAGCCCAAATCAACACATTAATATAACATCTCCAACAGTTAGAAAAAGGCCAGTAAAGTTAGCCTACAGTCACAAGAAATAAAGATTAGAGCAGAAATAAATGAAATAAAAAACAGAAAAACAATAGAAAGAATAAGCAAGACAAGAGACTGGTTATTTGAAAGGATTATTAAAATTGACAAACCATTGGCAGATTTAACAAAAGAGAGGAGGGAGAAGACACAAATAACACACATAAAAAATATGGGTGATGTCACAACAGAACGAACTGAGATAAAAAGTATAATCACAGAATACTAAGAAGAGTTAGTTGTACTCCAGCAAAATTTGAATATCTAGAGGAAATGGATATATTAAACAAACAGTCAAACAAAACACATAACCACCTAAACTAATACAGAGTGAAGCAGAAAACTTGAAAAAACCTGTAATGATATTAG